CTAACCTGAATAGCTAATAGTTCTCAAAAAATTCATATATATTTATCACCCATACACTTATTTCTTAAAATATGTAAAAGTCGCATTGCCTAGTAGTCTATTATTCAAAATACTAGCGTACTATTTCAACAATAGGAGCAATATCTTCGTTTTGATGCATACCAGCATCCAAAATATTTACACTTTCTTTTTCGTTTTGACAGATAATTGTCAAATGGGTTGCTAAGAGACAGAAAGCGAAACTCGATTGCTAGATGTTTTAAAACAGTACAAACACAGGGCCGTAGAGCAGAATAGGGATGTGGGAATTAAAAAAAAAAATAACTAAAAAGTACTCATTTCATTCAGTAATTTAAAAAAAAAGCAGAAAACCGACACTATTCTAAGAAAAATTTAATCAAAACATGTAATATTCTGATGTTTCTAACCGAATATTCATGAAGTGTTGCTAATAGTTTTAGTTCAATAAGTTCAAGTTAAAATGTGATTATCCAGATTGAAAAATTCTTTAGCTGTAGATTTATGAAAAAAAAAAAAAAAAACATATATGAAACTTAGGTTTGAAAGATTCTTTGGCAATAATAGCGATACCTTAAAGGGCATCGGTATCTAAGCTAAACTAGATAAAGACTTTATTTTTTTAAACGCTAATAAAATTAACGAAATTACCTAATCTGTAGCATCGATATGAAGCGCACCCATTTCTAAATATCGGCTGGGTACGCTTTTTAATTTTTTTTTTTTATAAATTATTGGTAAAAAAATGTTTTTCATATAAAGTTGATTACTCCAATAAAGAATCACTAATACAATCTATAAAAGCTACATTAATATTAATTCACAAATTTTTTCCAAGGAATACTTGGGCAAAACAAAAGGTTATTGTATTGAAAATAACCCTTAAAATAGATTATTTCGACTTAGAACTCTGAAAAATAGATTATTTTGAATTAGAACTAGGAAAAACAGATTATTCCGATTTAGAACTCGAGAAAATATTTTATTCCAACTTAAAACTAGGAAAACTATATTATTCCGACTTTAAACTCGGAAAAATAGGTTATTCTGACTTAAAATTTAGAAAATTCGATTTGTCCGAAATAGAACTCGGAAATATCGATTTGTCTGACTTAGAACTCGGAAAAATAGATTATTTAGGCTTAGAACTGTCTTAGAACTGGGAAAAAATATTATTTCTACTTAGAATTTAGAAAATTCGATTTATCCGAAATTAGAACTCAGAAAAATCGATTTGTCTCACTTAGAACTGGGAAAAATAGATTATTCCGACTTGGAATATAGAAAATTCGATTTGTCCGAATTAGAACTTGGAAAAATCGATTTGCCCGGCTTAGAACTGGGAAAAATAGATTATTTAGACTTAGAACTCAAAAAAATCGATTTTTCTGACTTATAACTGGGAAAAAATAAATTGTTCCGACTTAGAATTTAGAAAATTCGATTTTTGCGAATTAGAACTCGAAAAAATCGATTTGTCCGACTTAGAACTCAGAAAAATCGATATTTCTGACTTAGAACTGAGAAAAATAGATTATATTCCGACTTGGAATATATAAAATTCGATTTGTCCAAAATTAGAACTCGGAAAAATCGATTTGTCTCACTTAGAACTGGGAAAAATAGATTATTCCAACTTGGAATATAGAAAATTCGATTTGTCCGAATTAGAACTTGGAAAAATCGATTTGCCCGGCTTAGAACTGGGAAAAATAGATTTGCCCGGCTTAGAACTGGGAAAAATAGATTATTTAGACTTATAACTCAAAAAAAATCGATTTTTCTGACTTATAACTGGGAAAAAATAAATTGTTCAGACTTAGAATTTATAAAATTCGATTTTTGCGAATTAGAACTCGGAAAAATCGATTTGTCCGACTTAGAACTCAGAAAAATCGACATTTCTGACTTAGAACTGGGAAAAAATAGATTATTCCGACTTAGAATTTAGAAATTCGATTTGTCCGTATTAGAACTCGGAAAAATCGATTTGTCTGACTTATAACTCTGAAAACATGGATTATTCTTATTTAGAACTCGCAAAAATAGATTATTTCCACTTAGAATTCGTCGAAATCAATTTTTCTAACTTGGAACTAGAAAAAATAGAATATTCCTACTTATAACTCGGAAAAATCGATTTTAATGAATTAGAACTCTGAAAAATAGATTATTCCCACTTATAACTCGGAAACGTGTAATATTCCAACTTAGAACTCAGAAACATGTAATATTCCAACTTAGAACTCGGAAAATATATTATTCCGTCTTAGAAATCAAAAAAATTGATTTTGCTGGTTTATAACTCCGAAAAAAAAAACGATTATTCCGTCTTAGAATTTATAAAATTCGATTTTCTCGAATTAGAATCGGAAAAATCGACTTATCCGACTTAGAATTCGGAAAAATAGATTATTTCGACTTGGAATTTAGAAAATTCGATTAGTCCGAAATAGAACTCGAAAATATCGATTTGCCCGACCTAGAACTCGGAAAAATAGATTATTAGACTTTAGAACTCAAAGAAATCGATTTTTGTGACTTAGAACTGGGAAAAAATAAATTATTCAGACGCAGAATTTAGAAAATTCGATTTGTCCGAATTAGAACTCGGAAAAATCGATTTGTCTAACTTAGAACTCTGAAAAAATAAATTACTCTTATTTAGAATTCGCAAAAATAGATTATTTCCACATAGAATTTGTCAAAATCAATTTTTCTAATTTGGCACTCAAAAAAATAGATTATTTCGACTTATAACTCGGAAACATGTAATATTCCAACTTAAAACACGGAAAATATATTATTCCGACTTAGAAATCAGAAAAATGTATTTTGCTAGTCAGAAATAAAGATTATTCCGACTTAGAATTTAGAAAATTCGATTTGCCCGAATTAGAACTCGGCAAAATCGATTTTTCCGACTAAGAATTCGGAAAAACCGATTTGTCTGAAAAAAATTGATTTTTTTGACTTACAACTGGGAAAAATAGATTCCGACTTAGAATTTAAAAAATTCGATTTGTCCGAATAAGAATTTTTCTGAGTTCTTAGTACAAATAATCCATTTTTTCGATTTCTAAGTCGGACAAATAAACTTTTCCGAGTTTTAAGTCAGAAAAATCAATTTTTCCGAGTTCTGAGTCAGAAAAATCAATTTTTCTCAGTTCGAAGTCGGACAAATCGATTTTTCCGAATTATAAGTCAGAAATATTGATTTTTTTCGAGTTCTAAGTCGGAATGATCTATTTTTTCGAGTTCCAAGTTAGAAAAATCAATTTTGACAAATTCTAAGTGGAAATAATATATTTTTCAGTTCTAATTGGGAATGATCTATTTTTTCAGAGTTTTATGTCGGAATAATGTACTTTTCGGAGTTTTGTGTTGAAATAATCCATTTTTTCCGATATTTAGTCAGAAAAATCAATTTTATCGAGTTTTAAGTCAGTAAAACCAATTTTTGTTGAGGTTTAAGTCGGAATAATATATAATTCCGAGTTCTAAGTGGGAATAATCTAGTTTTCCGAATTCTAAATAAGAATAATCTATTTTTTCAGAGGTCTAAGTCAGACAACTCAATTTTTCCGAGTTCAAAGTCAGAAAAATAAATTTTTCCGAGTACTAAGTCAAAAAAAATCGATTTTTTACAAGTTCCAAGTTAGAAAAATCATTTTTGACGAATTTTAAGTGGAAAAAATCAATTTTTCCGAATTCTAATTCAGAAAAATCAATTTGTCCGAGTACTAATACGGAATAATCAATTTTTTCAAGTTCCAAGTTGGCAAAATGGATTTAGACGAATTCTAAGTGGAAATAATGTAGTTTTCCGAGTTCTAAATAAGAATAATCTATTGTTTCAGAGTTCTAAGTCAGACAAATCAATTTTTTCGAGTTCTAAGACGGAATAATCTGTTTCCGAGTTCAAAGTCGGAAAAATAATTTTTGACGAATTCTATGTGGAAAAAATCATTTTTGACGAATTCTAAGTGGAAAAAATCATTTTTTCCGAGTTCTAAGTCGTAATAATTTATTTTTCCGAGTTCTAATTCAGAAAAATCAATTTTTCCGAGTACTAATACGGAATAATCTATTTTTTTCGAGTTGCAAGTTGGCAAAATCGATTTATATGAAATCTTAGTGGGAGTAATCCAGTTTTCAGAGTTCTAAATAAGAATAATCTATTTTTTCAGAGTTCTAAGTCAGACAAATCAATTTTTCCGAGTTCTAAGTCGGAATAATCTATTTTTCCGAGTTCTAAGTCGAAATAATCTATTTTTCCGATTTCTAAGGCTAACCTTACTGAATAAAATAAATAATTTATTAAAACAATCCTCAGTCGGAGAGAGTCGTTGGCATTGAGCTACTAATCACTATACTTTACTCTAAGATTGATAAAAATGATTAATTAGACAAATAGTTCCAATGTACCGATATCAAACTGTAGAATTAACCGAAAAGGTTCTTAAGAAGTGTTAGTTCAAATATATTTTATTGTTTTTTAATCATGGAAGCTAGTTTTTAGTGAAGAAAATAATGAACGTAGATGTTTGAAACGTCGGTCGAGCCCTTAATATTTTTTTTTATGAGTTTGTCGGTAAAAATGTTATATAAAGTTGATTTTTTTCAATACAAACATATTTTATCAGTTGAGTCCATTTGAAAAATAAATTTCATACTTTGCACTCATGTTTTTGTCGATGGGGCATATCCTTAAAAGAAGAAAAGGTTTAGGAATTCCTTTAATTGAAGAAATATTACAGAACTTGGCGACGGTATTAAATTTTGAATTATCCTTCAGTCAAATTAAGTTTTTAATCACAAATTTTTGCTATTTTGACAGATGAAAATAATTTTTTTACTGTTTTCTTTTAATACCCCCATTTAAAAACAACACAACATGATAAAAATAATAACCAGGTCATTTTTATCTAAAAACACTCCAAATATTAATTATTATTTATTTCTGTTGGTACTTTACCTACCTTCAAAAACCCAATGAGGCACGGTTGTGGAGAAGCGTTCAAAAGTCGCTCTAGTTTATCGCAAAAATCTTCTGGTTCTACTTTGTTATCGATAAGTTCCTGTATGAGTTGCCGAACACTCCGCTCTACCGATTTGGGTTCTCTACTCGACAATTCCAGCAAGTTTGCTAGGAATTTCCGACATTTTTCTTTGGTATTATCGTTGACAGGTCTCTGAAATATTAAGAAGATTGATCGTATGAAATAAATACACGGAAATCACAAAAAAATAGTTAAAATAAGACAAGAAAAAAATAATTGATTCTAAAACGCTTAAAGAAGTGAATCTTGCAACAATACAAATTTACTGAAAATGTTTAGTCATTCAATAAAAAAATGGTAGCAAAGTTTAACAAATTTTATCTTTTATTTTGATATTGAAACTTTTTAAAAACTTCACCTTTTAAATAAATACCGATTTTTATTCCTTACCTGGACCTGTACTTGCACTTGTCCAACCTGTCCTTGTTGAACATTTTGTGAAGCAGATGAAACGGTTGTAGTAGCACCAGCTTGTGCTGGATTTGGTGCTGTGCTTGTGGTCTAAAATTGTAAAAATATTTATCAAATAATTCTACAATAAATAAATTCAATCATCAAAATTAAATTCTTTAATATTCACTAAGTTTATTACTTTATGATCTATAAGAAATTATATTAAATTTTAGCTTCATCGAAATTCGTTACAGGTAATTAGAAGCTTGTCAAACAATATGATTTACACTTCTGTGTAAACAAATCATAAAGAAAAAGAAATCATAAAAAAACAAAGAAATCATAAAGAAATAAATAATTTATAAATAATACATAAAGAATTCATAAGGAATTCATAAGGAATTCATAAAGAAATCATAAAGAAATCAAAGAAATTATAAAGAAATCATAAAGAAAAAGAAATAAGAAAATCATAAAAAAAACCATAAAAAAAATCATAAAGAAATCATAATGAATTTATAAAGAAATCATAAAGAAATCATAAGAAATTCATAAAGAATTTATAAGGAATTCATAAAGAATTCATAAAGAAATCATAAAGAAATCATAAAGAAATCATAAAGAAATCATAAAGAAATCATAAAGAAATCATAAAGAAATCATAAAGAAATCATAAAGAAATCATAAAGAAATCATAAAGAAATCATAAAGAAATCATAAAGAAATCATAAAGAAATCATAAAGAAATCATAAAGAAATCATAAAGAAATCATAAAGAAATCATAAAGAAATCATAAAGAAATCATAAAGAAATCATAAAGAAATCATAAAGAAATCATAAAGAAATCATAAAGAAATCATAAAGAAATCATAAAGAAATTATAAAGAAATCATAAAGAAAAAGAAATAAGAAAATCATAAAGAAACCATAAAAAAAATCATAAAGAAATCATAATGAATTTATAAAGAAATCAATAAGAAATCATAAAGAAATCATGAAGAAATCATAAAGAAATCATAAAGAAATCATAAAGAAATCATAAAGAAATCATAAAGAAATCATAAAGAAATCATAAAAAAATCATAAAGAAATCATAAAGAAATCATAAAGAAATAATAAAGAAATAATAAAGAAATCATAAAGAAATCATAAAGAAATCATAAAGAAATCATAAAGAAATCATAAAGAAATCATAAAGAAATCATAAAGAAATTATAAAGAAATCATAAAGAAATCATAAAGAAATCATAAAGAAATCATAAAGAAATCATAAAGAAATCATAAAGAAATCATAAAGAAATCATAAAGAAATCATAAAGAAATCATAAAGAAATCATAAAGAAATCATAAAGAAATCATAAAGAAATCATAAAGAAATCATAAAGAAATCATAAAGAAATCATAAAGAAATCATAAAGAAATCATAAAGAAATCATAAAGAAATCATAAAGAAATCATAAAGAAATCATAAAGAAATCATAAAGAAATCATAAAGAAATCATAAAGAAATCATAAAGAAATCATAAAGAAATCATAAAGAAATCATAAAGAAATCATAAAGAAATCATAAAGAAATCATAAAGAAATCATAAAGAAATCATAAAGAAATCATAAAGAAATCATAAAGAAATCATAAAGAAATCATAAAGAAATCATAAAGAAATCATAAAGAAATCATAAAGAAATCATAAAGAAATCATAAAGAAATCATAAAGAAATCATAAAGAAATCATAAAGAAATCATAAAGAAATCATAAAGAAATCATAAAGAAATCATAAAGAAATCATAAAGAAATCAATCATAAAGAAATCATAAAGAAATTATAAAGAAATCATAAAGAAATTATAAAGAAATCATAAAGAAATCAATCATAAAGAAATCATAAAAAAATCATAAAGAAATCGTAAAGAAATCGTAAAGAAATCGTAAAGAAATCGTAAAGAAATCGTAAAGAAATCGTAAAGAAATCGTAAAGAAATCATAAAGAAATCATAAAGAAATCAAAAAAAAAATTCATTAATTATAAAGAAATCATAAGGAAATTATAAAGAAATCGTAAAGAAATCATAAAGAAATGATAATGAAATCAAAGAAATCATAAAAAACCATAAAGAAATCATAATAAATTCATAAAGAAATAAAAGAAATTATAAAGGAATTATAAAGAAATCATAAAGAAATCATTATAAAGAAATTATAAAAACAAATAATTCATAAATAATACATAAATAATTCATAATAAATTCATAAAAAAATCATAAAGAAATAAATAATTCATAAATAATACATAAAGAAATCATAAAGAATTCATAAAGAAATGTCAGGCAATATTAAAATTATTTTTTTAAATATTTAAATAAAACACCATATGCAACTAAATATTTTATATAAGTGATTTGGGTAAAATCTTCATATTTTGAGCCCAACATTTTCCAGTTAGAATATTTACACATATTAATCAACCACACTGTATATATCCCAGAATCAATGGCAAAATTGTATCTATAATATAGTCATGATAATTTGAACCATCAACCACCATCAACTTACCGTCTGTACAGTTTGCATCCTAAAGGTAACCTGTTGCCCTTGGGGCTGCGACGTATTGACTGGAGCAGGTCCGACCCTGAGCAGCTGGTACTGTCCATTTTCAGTCTTGAGCAGCAGCGCCCCTTGCTGACCGGGTTGCAAACCATGAAAGCTTTGTAAGGTTAATTGCTAAAACATTGACAAGCACACCTTTAGACAAACACTGTCCCCCAGAAAACGAACTCTGAAAACGTAGCTACGGTCTACGAGAAATCAGAGATGCTGCAGTGCAAGAGGTGTCTATCAAATAATAAAAGATTTGGAATAGTTTAATTTAATTAAAAATAAGACGTAGTCAATGAAATAAAATCTTGCCAAATTAATTATTAAATTTATTAAACATGGTTATTATTTGGCAGATGATGACAAGTGGCAACTGACTGTTAGACAGTTTAAGTTTAAAATAGACATCAAATATGGAAAAAGTGCTTTTAAAAAAATGACAAAGTACACAAAATAAATTTTTTTTATTATTTATATGGTAGACACCTCAAAATAAGCAAAAAAAGCGGAAAAGCTACCAAGCACAAAAAGAATTAAACAAAATTCAAATTTTATACAAAAAAAAAAAAATAAGACAAAAAATTAAATATGATCAAAATATTTTATTTTACTCATGTATTTATAAAAATCATCTGGGTGTTTTTTTTATAAAATTTATTATAAAAATTAAGTTAATTTCAAACAATACTGTATAAAAAAAATTACCAATATAATGTGAAATGGTGACCTAATTTAACTAAGATATATATATTTTGAATAATCTCATAAACATTTTATTGCTTTCATTTAAAATTATGATTGTTAATACATATTTATTGAATTTAGAAATTTTATTTCTTAAAACAATGTAACTTAAGTGTGGGCGTATTTAGGAAATACATAAAATTATACTCATTGTATATTTTTTTAAAGTTGGTAACCAAGTTAATAGGGGATTTGTTTTAATAAAATGTTGATTAAAGTGGATTTTAAATGAGAGCAAGACCAATAGGAGTATAAAAAATACAATGGCAAAACATGAACATGGTACACAAGAAAAAAATTATATTAAATCTATAAAATGAAAAGCTACTAAACTGTTATTGTAATTAAAAACTTGAAAATTCTTTTTATTTGAAACAAACATGCAGTAAGTAAATAGAGGAGCATATTTTTTATCTAAACTACATATTCAGAAATCTACAGAATGTGTCTTTATATTATTTTTGTGCATCTGTGGAAAATTTTTATTCCTAGAATGGAGCAGATACTTAATAGTTGGTGTGCTCTGTTGTCTCAGATGCTAGTAATACATCTGTAGACAACTAAATCATGTTGTTGAATAAAAATATACTCCAAACTTAACCCTTAGTGTTAATTATACCAAAAACCATTAAATTAGTAGATAGTTTGCAAAAATAAAACAAAATACAACCAGCGGTGTACAAAATAATTTCCAACTAGAAAAACAATGACAAAAAGAATAATCTAAATTACCAGTTTGTTTTACCAAACATTTGTTTGACAATTAAAATATAATTTATGTATAATTAAAGAATATTTATAGTTTTATTAATATTTAAAATAATATCAACCAGAGATAAAAAACAATAAAAAATTGGTAACTTGGATCAAAAATGGCTGCTTTGTATATTGATCAAATTTTTAATTCCTATTTTAATTAAAATAAACCTATTATTCGCTATTAAGGCATCAAAACTTCAAAATTATTAAATATATTAGTAGAATTAAATCAATCTTTGATTATAGTCAACAGATGGTGATAGACTTCTGTCAAATACAAATATACAACCAGGCATATAGATGTCATTTGTGTCCATGATTTTTTTTAATACAGAAGATTTCTTTAAGTACTTTTTGTTTTTTAAAATAGTTATAGGAATTTACTAAAAAAAGACCAAAGTAACAAACTTAATGTACATAACCTTCAATCTTGTTTATTGTTTAGTCTAAGACAATATTACAAGATTAACAAAAGGAATTTATCTTTAGATTGGTAACATTAACATACCAGTGCCATTATCAAGTTATCAATAAAATATTTAAAAAAAATATTACTTTTTATACAAAAATTTGATTTAAAATGTTTTTGTCAAACAAGAGTTACTGATACGAAACACAACAAATTCTAAGATGCATCAAATAGGAAGGCTTTTCTTATTAGAGCAAAGTTAGAAAAGCTTTGACAATTAGCTACATACAGTAAATTGAAGCCCAAACTAAAAATTAAGAAATTGACAACTGACCTTTCATTGGTAAACACAACTATGAATAAAAGTTGGTAAATCAAAAAAACTATGTTTCCTTTGATTAAATACCTTAGTTACAGTGGCTATAATGTTAGCAAAGAATATACCTAACTACAACAGTTTAAATTTTGATGCCATAGTTGTTATAATATTTTCTAAGACCTTGCAAAATTTGATATACCAAGCAGGTGTTCAAAAATAAATTGTATGTCATGAAAAATGTTTAGTAAAAGAGAAAAATGTCCTAAAAACTAAATAACTAATTGCTTACAATTATTTTTTTTATGTTGTGACTCAGAAACATTTTTTGAGGTTATGTTTTCATTATATTTCATATTTTTAAAATTTCAAGTAAAGGAGGTAATTCAGATATTCATATCAATAAATAAAGAAAAATTTAAATTAAAAATGTAGAAATATTAAAAGTTCTTAATTAATACTTAACAACAGATAAAACAATTCGACAATTTTAAATAATTATTGATTGTGCCTTTTGTAAATAATGATATAAAATAAATAAAAACAACTGAAGTTTAAAATTGTTAATTACACTGGGAAAACTGCAATATTCAAATCTAAATTGTTTCTGATGAAAAAATTGAACCGAAATATAAAAAAAATGGATTAAACACAATTACATTGCTTAGATTTTAATGTTTTTATTTTTTCTCAGAATGATTTTGAGGTTATGTTTTCATTAAATATCAAAATTTTAAATTTTTATATCTTTGTAATGATTACAGATCAGTTAATTTATAAAGAAACAAATTTTAAAATCTTAATTTTCTCAAAATAAACATAAGTAACTGATATAAAGGTATTTTAATCAAAGTTTCGAACAAGTGTGCCAAATTGAAATATTGGTCATATTTTAAATAAGGGCTTCAAGTAAAGGAATCTAGGGCAAGCATGCCTTCCCATTTGAGCTATATTCATAAACTTACTGGAGTCCCAGGACGGGCCCCGACTAACTGAGGTGCACTTAGCACTACACGAGCTGGTTGCCCTTTCTGCTGCTGAGGAACTCCAGGTCGGACATTAACCACCTGGAGATTGGAAAGGATATTTGGGGATTGAGTGCTAGGGCTACCTACGTTATTAGCCTGGCCCATTGACGAAGCCACATTCATAGGTACAGTGACGAGTCCGGGTGCCCCCGGGGCCCCGCTGGTCTTGAGCACCAACGTGGGTTGTTTGTTTTGAATGGTCTGAACATTGGTGTTCTGCTGGGGAAGGCTAATGGTGCCATTAGGAAGAGTAACTCTATTTTGGAGTATTGTCGGGCCCGACGAGGACATAACTTGGTTGGCCTGGCCTTGGCTATATACTATTTTGACGCCTTGGCCCTCTGGGGGCTTGGTGTTTGTATCCACGGGTGCACTTTGGTTCACGTAAGAAGTTGTTACTGGACCCGCGTTACCGCTTAATATCATCGCGTTAGCATTGATGTTATTCGACACTTGTTTGTTTCCATCGCTCGTATTTACACCGCTTATCGAATCACCGTTGGCTATAGTCACTTGTTTCTGTGGGGCTACGGTCCCGCCGTTTGATATTGCACTATTTACGTGGTTCTGATTAATCACGATTGCTGAGCCTGGCTGAGATGACGCTGGAGGTGTTGATGTGACGAGTTGATTCTCTAAGGAGCCTACTATCGCACTTACAGCCGATTCATCAACATCTGTACTCAGAGCTTCCTCGAGAAACTTAGCTGACGCCATTTTCCGAGACCCAACTGTGAAGCGATGTTGCCAGTTGTCGCTTTTCGATTCTCCGATATCAATTAGTCGAACACTGTCGGCACTAGCCATGGCAAAAAACATTCCTATTATAAATTTAAGCGATTTTTTAAATTCCAAATACTTTAATAATCAACAAATATGTTAATTATTCAGACTGGCCAGACTAAAAATAATTCTGTTAATAAATTTAAACGCTTTTTGAAATTTCCAAAAACTTTAATATGTAGATAACAAAATATTTAAAAGTACTATAAAAATGGTATAAGTACAATGTAGTTTATTATTTAATAATGTAAATATCTATATAACTAATAATGTTTTAAAAAATATTAGATTCACATGATGAAATCCAATTATCCAAAAGTTATAGGCAGATGTAGAGGGACCTCATATCAAAAAAAAAAAACAAATAATTTCTGAGTGCATAATATTCTGTTTTAATATCTTCTTGCAAACATATATCCCCATAATTTATTTAAATTCTTAAACCTATTATATTAAAATATTCGTAAAAAAATTTAAGCTGGCACCGTCGCTATGTAATAAAGCGTGAATGGCGCATGATCTTGTCAACGGGCGCGTGCGCTCTCGGTGTTGACAAAGCGAAGGCAGAAGAGCATATGAAACAAAACTTGAAATCGCGCCTCTATAAACTAGTCAACTTGTTTCAACTTATGCACTTTCGGGGGCGAAAATGTTTTACAACTCGGACAACTCCATCAAAATAGCTCAGTTACCTCCATGAAGCTGACTAGGGCGTTTCGATCTTTGATTTCTCCATCGTCACAGCACATGCGATAACAAATTGGACACGTCATCGCTGCCGCCAAATTCGATTTTTGCATATTCCTTTGTTGTAGACCTTCAAGCTGATAAAAACTAATGCGTATATAAAGATTTGTCAATGAATATGTAGATCTTGCTCAATATAAAACGATTTTCAGAATTCTAGGTACATAAACGTTGGAAAAATATACAAAATTAATCAATCTGCAAATTGTTTCCAGTGTTGTTGATGATTTTTTGGAAAATATCGCAACACTGTAAATTATACTTTAACGTGCATTTTGTCAAAAAATAATGTATGTAGAAATAAATTTGAAGGTGAATTTTGGAAATGTTTTTAAAATTCCTGGAATATTTACGTTAATTATTGATTATACTGACATCTAGTGGTTGATAGAAGAAACACAAAGTGAGCACATGGCAGAGATCTGTCAATTTTATGTTAATTAAATTTGGAAATGCAATGAATCAAGTAACAAATTAGTGCTGCCATAAATATATTGTGTATATACCATAGATAAATTAATAATTATTTATAATATTAATTTATCTATGGTATATACCTTATTTACATCATGTAAGTACATACATTCTCAGGAGATGCAATTCTTGCTAGTTATAGATTAGGATTAGAATATATCATTTATATGTGATAGGGACATACCAGAAAGCTCTGCAAATATAACAATTATATATTATTACTCTTCCTATTCACCTTTACAAAGGATTCAATAAGAAAGGGGATTGGATGGAGTTATTCCCAAAAGAAGGTTATTATAGATATCTACCTCATAAATTCATCTAAGAGATCCATTTTCCACGACTTTACTGATTAAGGAAAGCAAAGCCCTATAAAGAAGAAAATATATTTATTGGAGTCTCACAAAGTGCTATGACTGGAGTCTTTCGACCTATTTTTACTATTATATATAGTTATTAAAATATCTACATTTAATACAGGAAAAGAACATTAAGTGCTAGTTATTTAATATATTTATTGGAGTCTCACAAAGTGCTATGACTGGAGTCTTTCGACCTATTTTTACTATTATATATAGTTATTAAACTATCTACATTTAATACAGGAAAAGAACATTAAGTGCTAGTTAGTCTTTTTAGATCATGTCTATCAAATACTTGGGATATTGGAAGCCTGCATCAGCCTGAGCAAGAATAGGTTACACATTGTAACGGGATCCTTACCGGGCATTGGCGACTCAAAGGACACCTGCTTAGTAAACTGATAGTAAATAGAAAGTAGTGAGTGCAGATTCTGTGAGGAGTATAAAACTCCATTCACATTCTGACTGAATGTATAGCATTCCAGAATCTAAGGGTAATGTGCTTATGTGCATACCAAATAGAAGAGGTCGATTTACCTAACTTGAAGCCACTCCAAATCCTACACTTCCTTGAGAAGATAGGATTAGAAGGGTCGTTTTAGGCATCGAGACTATTTCTTTGATGCATTAGCGAACGAAGAGGGCATAATAGATCTTTTAGGTCGCAGTGCATTAATGCCCCTTACTCAACATAACAGATCATATCTGAATGGATTCAAAATGGTAAGTTGAGGTAATGACCTCTTCTAGTAAACTGGATAGAAGTTGGTATTGCCTATCTGTTATTTATGTTATTAATTTGAATAATTAGCAAATTTTTGAGTGAGACACTCTATTTTTTCCGTTAATTGTTGCTCCTATGAAATTATATTTGGAAGCTTATGGAGCCGATTATCAGGATGTCTCATTCTTGTTCTTAGGCCACCTCTTTCAGCTACCTCAATAGAAGTATAAGATACCACAAGTATAGTCTATTAGTAGCCTGCATATAAGTTTATATATTTTAATGGCATTTTTAATATCTATGCCATGGTTCTTGTATATCAATCTAAAATGTTTGGCTCATTGTATACTATTTTAATGGTTATACATGAAGTTCAATGTATTGTCTATTATTACTCCAAGGTAGGTATTTAATGTTACTTTGATATGGTGAAGAATCTTTAAGATATGATTTAATAATATTGGTTGACACTTTTTGATATTGGGCATTATCTCCATTGTTTGAACCATATTTAAAAAAATTTTTGTGTACGATTGCATCTTAGTCACTGCACAGACCAATCTATGATTATGTGCACAGAACTCTTACATCATCATCATCAGCAATCTTTCCTATAAGTATTTAAACTGGTATAAAATAAAAATTCTTACAGTTACACATTTTTTATTAACGTGAATAAATTATAAACTTTTGAAAATCATTTACACCTATAATATATATTACATGAATACCTAAATATACTTAACGCCGTTTTCAATATTATACACATAACAGATACATGGTATCATATCATAATGTCATTATTTTATTAATAATAGAAAATCTGATCACCTAAGCAATTTCAGACCACTTTAATCATTATCAAATACTCACTCATCAATTTTAATTGGAACAAATCAGCAACAAATTATGTAAGAAAACAAACAGATATGTTAGTAGATCATTGATACTGCTATCAGAGCTTTATTAACTAAATAATCTGGAACAGACAAATCACATAATAAATGATAGTGGATGAAAACAGAAAATCAGCTAGAAAAGCACAAATGACAGAGGTTCACACACTAATTGATAATGAATAAAAAAAAAATGGTAAGACTGCAACTGCATACTTTTTGAAAGTGGGCTTTTATATCAGTACAAAACTTTTAAATTAAGAAGAGAAAATTTTGGGTATATTGTTACATATTGTTTATGGATTATTGTTGAGTTAATATTTTTAAATTTACTATTTGCATGCCAAAACTATTCCAAAGTAAAATTTACTTACAGGTCAATAATTAGGCCAGAATGTTATTTATTAAATTTTATAAAAAATGGTCCAAAATTACCTAACAAGGGCTAATATCACACACCATTAATTTCCCCCCAAAAATCTTCAAAAAGTGTTTGTTTTTGTCAAATTTTTGCGTCGATTTCTCAACTTCTCACAAATTGTAGCCAATTGACGGGTCTTGCCTACCAATTTGCATTTGTAAAAAATTACCAAAATCACTTTGATAAAACCCTGTGAATCTTCCTTCGATAATTTTCATATAATTTAACCTTAAAAATCGATTATTGGAATAAACATTCACATTTACCATACTAACTTTTTTCTTCTTCGAAATTTAATAATTCTTAAAATGTTTCAGCCTATACAAAGAGACCACCGACTTTCTGTTACCGAAAGCGAGGAAGCCGCTGCTGGGCGAGAAATTCAACGCATTGATGTGCCCCATTTTTGTATCGAAATTGGGAAAATTACTAAACACCGTTCCAGAACCTAAATGGAACAACTTCACTGAATTCTGTATTTCGGCGGAACAAAAACCGAGTATTTCAGATGAAGAGTTGAATTTTAGATCCTTGATAGAGGTGGTCAGGTTCAGAATACTCTTTCTCGGTTTGGGAATGTTTGTTTTCAAAACGTCCTCCATGCCGTACAGGTTGACCACCCCTTGAGCCGATCCTGCCGCTAGGAATTGGTTCGAAGATGATATTGAGAGGGTGGTGCCTTGTAGACACCCTTCGTCGATGAATTTGTGTTTTACCCGACGCATTTTCATGTCCCATGCCGTTATTTCGCCGGTATCGCTGTGGCCAAATAGCAGGTTTCCTGGAATAGAAAAACATATAAAGGGTTGCTTGAAATGATTTGGTTCTTAATTACTTATCGGCATTTAACTATAAACCATGGTGTATTTATTATAAGATTTATTTACAACTTACAACTAAACTATATTTACTATTGACAACACATATTATGTTAAATATTTTATATGAAATACTATACTATCGGCTTTTAATGTACCGCTGTAGTAGGAAAAGAAAGGTTTAGTAGTTGTATGATTGAATATTAAAATCGTTCTGGTCTCAAAAACTCTCAACACAGATAAATTTACCTGGCAGGCCTTGGGTTCAAAAGTTTATTGCCCTGTAAAAATAACAATTTATTTTTACTAGACTTGCGAATTATGATTGTAAAGTTTATGATTTTAATATTTTTACTTTTTGAAACTATTTATTTTAAGTAGGATATTTATTTGTTAAGCTTGTATACCCAATAAAGCTCATTATTGTTATTTTAATTCCTGTTGGGAATACCATGTTGGGGATTTCCAACAGTTGCTGTTAAATATGGAACCAAGAATGGTTCCATTTAGAAATCTAAAAATTTCTGATGTTGCTGCTAAAATTTTTCATAAAAATGTATTGTAATTAGGTTTTCAATCTCTATACACAGTCGGTCCTTAAGTAATTGTATAGAAGTATAGTAGATTTTTGACTTCAACATATTATGATTTGAAATAGCTTGCCTTAATAAGGAATTGGTCAATATTGTGGGATCAATTACTTTTAAATAAAACCTTTGATAATATGATTATCAATTTTTATGAAATATTGTTTATTGCAATTGACATATTTGTACCAATGAAAAAAATTACATGTAAAAAATTCTCGATATGGTTTTCTTCTGATTTAAATCAATGTATCATGGCTAAAAAGCTTGCAAACAAACATTACAAAAATACACGATCCCAGCTATCAAAAATTTTCTGAACTCCGGTCACAATGTAAAAGACTAAATCGTGAATGGTATGTTTAGTACATTTTGTTTAATGAGAACGCCTTGCTCACAAACATTAAAATGTTTTGGACTTTTGTAAACTTAAAAAGAAAGCAAAATGGTATACCAAGTTCAATGCAATTCAATAACATATTTATTATACTGGAAAACCCCATTATAGAAAACAAATACAATACAATAGAAAATATAGTGTCTAGCCAAATATTTACATACTATTTTAATACAAATATTTACTTACAATAAAACAAACCTATTGAGATCTATACTGTTTTTTTAAAAGAATATAGATTGTCAGAATTCATTGGCCATTCTGACCATTCTTGACAAAGGACTAAAATAGCCATAATTTGTTTTTTATATTTTATTTTATCTCTAAGATATAAAACCTTCAACATAAATATCTATCTTACTTCAATATATTTTATTAAATATCCCAACACAATTTTAAAATCCTCTGACAATCTTCCCAAAATCTGACAATTCCCTCATTTTCAAAATCTCACTACCATCGCTGTCACAACCCTAAGGCAATTCTGAATAAGATATAGACGCCAACAATATTGAAAGGAAAATATAAAAACATATGTCAAATGATGGAATCATGACAATATACACATGTACATGCTTCCAGCCAATAGATAATCTCAAAATTGGATTGGGTTCACTTATCTAAAACATGATGAAAATTTAAATTAGAAAAAAAAAATGTTACTGTCTTCTTGATCTGCAGTTTGTACGCCTCTAGATGGCTCTGTGTGTATCTGCCATATCTGTATCTTCTTGTCTCTGCCCTATGTGTTTATGTCCTGCTCTACCTGACTCTGCTCCTATCTTATGTGCTCTCTTTATAATATGCTAGTCTCCTGGTTCACTCTGTCTCCTTTTTGATTAAATAAAATTTCCTTTATCTTTTTTTATACATAACTCTGAATTTATTTTTCCAAAACCATTTCTATCTATCCAAAATTCCATAAAAACACAAACACCCCTCCCAACTACTATTACATTAACACAAACTTTTTATACCCCACCTCAAATTGCTCTCTCCAATTTTTTACTTCTTCCATATAAGCATGTATACGTATTGAAATATATTACTGTTTTATTTAGTATTCTCTATCTTAACCTCTGCCCCTACCTAATACCATTATTATTTTATTTTAACATTAAAAAGGAAAAGTTGGGTAAGTGCTAACTAATTGATAGAAGATAAGTGATACTCTCATTTTTGTTTATTACTTACTGACTTACTATTACTAATAAAAATAATTCCATCTTTCTAAACTTGAGTCACTAACTAGAATTATTTAAAATACTTATACTCCTTACTCGATTTTTTTTAAGTACTCTCTAAATTTTGCAAAAGTACTCATTTGCTTTGAGTATTATTCATATAAGTACTCATACTCAAGTACATATCTTTGCATGGGATAGAGCCACAGAAATGTCAGGTGTTTTCATTATTCTAGCAGAAATACTTTTTAAGAAAATAATATCTTGATCTGTATAACTCTTCAACATATATCCATAACAATAATCATAGATTTAATAAACAAAACCTTGATATTCATAAATATAATACAAGAAATAAAAATGGCATCTCTAGATTATATTACCAAAACTCTAAAACACCATTCCAAGTTGGAGCTTATCTATATAATGGTTTTCAATGTATGATAGATTTTGACACAGTAGTCTGCACATTTATATAGTTATTTAGGTTATAAAAGTTATTTAAAAAAAAAAACAGACTTCAAAATAGTGCAGATGCTATTACAAATCGAGTTTGCTAATTTTCTCTTAGATGCCATCAACAGATCTTGACCATATTTATATGAGACCACCCCTGAGGTAACCCATTTTAACAAAAAAAAAATAATTGAAATTGGAAAATGTGGTAAAGGATTAGCACTGAACATACATAAAAAAAATTAACAGTTCGATGATTATACCATGGACCCAATTATTAGATCTTGATCAAATTTATGTGGAACTACCCCTGAAGTACCCCCTTTCTAATAAAAAAGAATCATTGAAATTGGAAAACGTGGTAAAGAATTATCGCTGAACATACATGAAAAACAAAAATATTTCCACGAATTGAGAACCTCCTCCTTTTTTAACAAACTTCAAAAAAACGAGGAGGTTCTCAGTTCATCGGAATATTTTTTTTTGTAGGTATATTCAGCAATAATTCTTTGCCATGTTATCCAATTTCAACAATCAGGGGTGGTCCCATATAAATTTATTCAAGATCTAATAATTGGGCCCATGAGAAAATCCTCAAACTCTTCATTTTTTATGTATTTTCGTTGATAATTCTTTCATTTTTTAGAAAGAGGGTACTTCAGGGGTGATCCCATATAAATTTGGTCAAGATCTGTTGATGGCATCTGCACTATTTTGAAGTCAAAGTATCTAAAGACTGACCATTGTTTGGGCTAAAATTTACCTAGTATGCATAGGTATGATGCATAGGCAAAAAACTGTAAATACTACTGTGATATGATTTTGTTTTATACCTGTATGTTTTATTTACTTACTTTTTTATTCTTGGTTAAAATATTTAAGACTTTTTTTAGTTTTATCAGAAGAATGTTTAAAGATATTTTAATTTGAAAGCATCTTTTGCACATTATTTTCTGCTAATCAGTTTTTTTGGTTAGGTATTTATCTTATTAAGCATAGTTTAAAGGCTTGAAAAATTATTATTTACAATGTAGCCTCAAAACATTAATAATTTCCCTGATTTCATTATCACAAAAAAATTAATTTTACAAGACATTAGATCAAAAAAGAGCCAACCTGCATGCACCAACAAATTGTGTAAATATATTATTATATGACCAATAAGCAATAATATGTCATAGTTAATGGTTAAGTATCAAGCAATCATTTTCTGTTATCAGTGGAGTACCACATGGTTTAATGTTGGGACCACTGTTATTTCTCTTATACACTAGTGATTTGACCAATGTTACAAATACCCCTGTAACACTATGCAAACGATACAAACATGTATTTCAATCTGAATGAAAGTAGATCTCTTACAAAGAGATCTTAAAACAATTTAGCAGCTGTTCATAATTATAATAAATGCACAGTACCACATATAGAACCAAACAATCCACATAAAAATACATTACATCAATGGGGAAAGACTTCTAACAGTTACAGTCCAAAAATATCTTTGTGTTTTTATATCTTCAAAATTGCAAGGAAGGCCAACACAATGATATATATCTAATTAGAATTGCATTCAAATACCATTCAAAGGAAATGATTTTCAAACTATGCAAAACATATAATTGGCTAAAAATTGAATTTGCAATGTCAGTATGGAATCCATATTTTGTTAAAGATATAGAAATATTGGAAAAAGTTCAAAGAATGGTAAGTAGAATCCCTCCAGAACTTCAGAATTTTAATTACTTAGAAATGCAACCAAATACATAAGGAATCTAGACTTAGAGATGACCTGATAGAAATGTACAAATGGATTACTGGTACCTATTACTCAAATAAAAATATTTTTAATGTTTATCAGAATAAAATATAGAGGACACTCCAAATAAATTGTTAAAAGCAGCTGGGTGGTATATACTTGGAACAACCTATCGAAATCAATTTTCAGTTTAAGAATCTGCTTAGATAAAAAATTGAAAATTGCTTCACAAGTTCTTGTCCTAACTTTTGTAATATACCTAGGTTAACATACTATAATTATGTTTATGATATGATATAGTTAATGAACGTGAGTTTTCAATATTAGATTAGTCTCATTGGTTTATTCACTTACTAATCTTTATTAATAATTTGAATGAAATTCCCTGATTGGGTTCACTTATCTAAAACATGATGTAAATTTAAATTAGAAAAAAAAATGTTTTTGTCTTCTTGATCTGCAGTTTGTACGCCTCTAGATGGCTCTGTGTGTATCTGCCATATCTGTATCTTCTTGTCTCTGCCCTATGTGTTTCTGTCCTGACTCTACCTGACTGCTCCTATCTTATGTACTCTCTTTATAATATGCTAGTCTCCTGGTTTACTCTGTCTCCTTTTTGATTAAATAAAATTTCCTTCATCTTTTTTTATACATAACTCTGAATTTATTTTTCCAAAACCATTTCTATCTATCCAAAATTCCATAAAAACAAAAACACCCCTCCCAACTACTATTACATTAACACAAACTTTTTATACCCCACCTCGAATTGCTCTCTCCAATTTTTTACTTCTTCCATATAAGCATGTATACGTATTGAAATATATTACTGTTTTATTGAGTAAAATTGCATTCAAATACCATTCAAAGGAAATGATTTTCAAACTATGCAAAACATATAATTGGCTAAAAATTGAATTTGCAATGTCAGTATGGAATCCATATTTTGTTAAAGATATGGAACTTCAGAATTTTAATTACTTAGAAATGCAACCAAATACATAAGGAATCTAGACTTAAAGATGACCTGATAGAAATGTACAAATGGATTACTGGTACCTATTACTCTAATAAAAATATTTTTAATGTTTATCAGAATAGAATATAGAGGACACTCCAAATAAATTGTTAAAAGCAACTGGGTGGTATATACTTGGAACAACCTATCAAAATCAATTTTCAGTTTAAGAATCTGCTTAGATAAAAAATTGAAAATTGCTTCACACGTTCTTGTCCTAACTTTTGTAATATACCTAGGTTAACATATTATAATAGTTATGTTTATGATATGTTGCAGTCAATGAACGTGAGTTTTCAATGTTAGATTAGTCTCATTGGTTTATTCACTTACTAATCTTTATTAATAATTTGAATGAAATTCCCTGATATTCTATGACCAATACAAATTCCACATCATTCAAGGAATTTTCAGAAAGTAGTCACCAACTTTAACAAATATTATGGTGCTAAAAATCACTATATTCTTACCTGATGGATTAAAAGTAAGAGCAGTAACTTCAGAATCCTGTTTTAACATGGCAACCCTTTCTTTAGAATCAGTGGATAATAAATGCACTTCTCCCCACTTTCCAGCTATGGCAACAAACTGTGAATCAGGCGATACAACAAAATTCTTACATTGGGTCAACCCTTGAGGTAGAGTATACCGAACAGGCTTTGCAGCAAGTAAATCATAACTAAAGATATGTGAATGTCTTGAACCCAATAAAGCTTCATTGCCATTTTGCAGAAATTTTGCACATAGAATGGGATAATGCTGGAAAGCTATACTATGTAGCTTATTATTTCTTCTACCATCAACAGCAAATAGGGTAGCTATAGCACCATTACCAGCAACCAAAGCTACACTTGAACTTAGATGAAATTCAATGGAATTTATGGTAGGGCCTTCAGTATAGGTCTCACAGTTCAAATCTTTAACTTTTTTAAATTCCAGAACACTAGGCGGGATGTGTGATTTTGTTGTTTTCGAAATAAATCCGCAACTTTGCAGAATTTCGTCATCGGAATCAGATTCAGACCTTTTTCGTTTATTCAAAGAAGCCCATTTTGGATTGCCTACGGCAGCCTGAAATTTGTGTTTTAACAAATTAGAATACTTATTATCCCTCGAATTAATTCCACCCGAAGGTAATTTTCGTCTTTGACTCTCCAGTGCTTGGCCAACGTCAATACCATCGTCATCTTCATCGGTCCATGCTGGTTTTCTGACGTTTTCATTCTCATCACTGTCATCTTCGCCCACTCCAGAGTCAGTATTGGATTGCGAAGGGCCGGCCTCTTGTTCCGCCTCTTCCAAACATTGAAGGAAACTCGTAGCGCCCCCGAAAAGAATATGGGACAAATGTTCTTCCTCTGCCTGGGCTTGCTCGTCGAACGGCCGAAATTTCACTTTAGGAACATCTATTTCAAATTCTACATCTTCGGTGGTTTTAGGTTCATGTTTTCGCTTTCTATTTTGCTTTACTTTAGACATATTACTTTGAGAAATTACCGATTAGACAATTTTTAAAGAAATGAACGGAAATACCATGGAGGAAGGGAAATACGACATATACGAACGACACTGTCAAAAGTCAAAACCATGGAGGAAGGATGTCAAAACTCTAAAAGAAAAATAGTGGGGAAGTGGGGATAATTTTATCATTTTAGGCATTTTTTAACGATCGGTTATTTGAAATTTGAATATGTAGTCTTTAGCGAATTAAATTTTAATGTTAATTTTATAAATCCACAATCGTTTTTAAAATTAATTTTTGTAAAATCGTTTAATAATTGCAAAAAAAAGAATAATTCATCTCAAAAATTTAGATGACCAATAAAATATAGTCATATAGATTACTCACCCATCAGACGACGAAAAGCGGGTTTCAATAGTTTTCTCTTTATCTAATACATGTAATGTTTATGTTTTGTCTCCATTTTAAGTACTCAAACAAATCATTTACAGAACCGGTTCAGAAATTATGCATCGTTAGTGTTTTCTTGGCATTCAGATGTTTTCAGATTTTTTTATAAATGGTAAATATAATTTTACAGAAAATTCATATAGTTAATGAAAACTATTGTAGGATATTACTATAAAATTAAAATTTCCAATTTGATAAAAAGTATCATAGTCCTTATAAATTTTATTCAGTATAATTAAGAAAACTTTCTTCTGTATAATTAATATTAATTGTTACAATGCATCAGTGAAATTAAATATTTTAAGGAGAAAAGTTTTCACCTTCCAGTAAACATGAAACATGCTTTTTTGTAACATTTCTCATATAGACTTTTCTTGATATATTTTTGAAACAGTACTAAAATATCACATAGATGTTTAAATTTTACAGCGTATATTCATCTCTCGCTTGTATCTACAACTGAAGTTTTATGTACATAGCAGGAATACTTGAATTAGCTGTTACATAAATAGCTTTTTGTATTTCTTTATAGGCTTTATAATAACATCTACAAAGAAGTAAAACGACTTTCTTGGATTTAACAGAAACCTGTTCTACAGCCGCAATGGAGGTGATTTTAAACCTTACCCCGCTACATAATGATAGAGACCGTGGAAAAAAGGACAAGATATAGAATGATCATAAACGCAGTAATCAGGGCCGAAGATAATTGGGCTCAGGACGAAATGAGAAAGAAATACAGTGTTGTGAAAAACTTCAAAACCACAGAACTGCCATTTAGTGGTTTACGGATGCTTCCAAAACCATAAAAGGAACTGGAATAGGAGTTTATGGGCCTAGAACCAGACACTCTGAAAGTTACCCAAACATCTTTCAGGCGAAAATTCACGCTGCCATTGAGAAGTGTATCCAGTTTAACAGAGTTTAACACAGAGAGAAACTATCGCAGACAAGAGATTATTATCATGTCCAAGAAGCCATCAAATATAGTGTTATTTCTAAACGAGAGTGGTCTAAAACTGTTACATCCATGATTCAAAAAATTACAGAGGTATATGATACTTAGCTGACGAAATCTCGTCGAGTTCAGGTATGCCGCATTGTGGTGTGGAATATGGATATCTGATTGGCCATGAGCAGATTAAAATTTATTTTTGCGCACTGTTTTCGATCAGCTGTTGCCGATATCTCAAATTCGTCAAAGCTACGCGCCTTCACACAACAATACGTCACCGCGACGTAGTGTCAATCGGCGTAAAATACCATACCATCTTTTTATAGTATCATGGTTTACACCTATCTGTTATAAAAATTTATTATTATTTGGTTAAATGGAAACTCAAGTTTAAAATACAAAAAAAAATCGTTTTTTTTAATATTGTGCCTTGAAGTAAACATTAAGGTCACCCTTTTTATTAAAATGCTGAAATTATATTTTAAATGACATTTGGGCCAGAACGGTTCTGTTGAGTATTTCGACCATGTTTTCATGGTTCATATAGGCAGAGACAACAATATATGTGAGCAATCTATATAACATACAGCATTGGAGATGACTAATTTTGACGTTATTGACATTGACAAATTACAACTCAACAAAATTTAACATTTAACCTCAAATTATAAAGGTAAACAATGGGCTCTGAACAATCTAATCAATCTGGAGGCCAAAATGCTCAAAGACAAAGCAGTTTTAACAAAGAAACAGCTAAACCACCTAATGTTCGACGTCAACACACTATTGCCAATCCTGGAGGAAGCGAATTTACTTCAGAAAATATTGATATTAGACCAGGATCTATATCTCCAGGACCTAGTGTTTGCAGTGATGTAGATTTACCTTATATCAGTTATACTGTTAATAGACCAATTGGAGGTAGAGTATTGATTATTTTAAAGCAACATCATAGTTTTATATTATTATTCAAACATTTTAGACTCCCCGAAATTAACGAACAAACAACTTGTTAAAAAATCGTCGACCAGACGAATGCAAACACCGAAATTATCGAAAAACAAATCAGCTCATAACATAGTCGTCGTTCGCGGGGCTACTCCGACCTCTGCAGCAACCGAAAAAGACCCAGAAATTTTGAGATTGCAAAGTATTCCAATGTTTTTACCGATTATGAGAGCTACTCTAAATTTACCTGCAGCTAGAGACCCTGAAGTACTTGAAAGACTGGATCCAACGCCTATTAGAAATCTTTGTTTGAGGTATCAGCACCATTTGACTGCAGCTGCAAACCTTGTGGCTACTGAACAGAACCAAATCACCCATAAAATTAGAGAGGTAATTATTCTTCATACTTTCTTGATAGTGGATGAAAGTAAATTTAAAAAAAAATTGTAATTTGGTAATATGAATGAATATTTCTTGATAGAATAGAATGAACCTACTGAAAAATGATCAAATCAGTTTTAAACACTTCTAAAAGAAAGGTTGTGAACATGATTAGAAATTAGTTTAATTAAGATTTAATTGATAAAGTAAAAAGGCGGTATTTATTTTTATTGTTTAATTTAAACATTTTAGGTAGATGTAGAAATATCTAAAGCTGTAGCTCTAGTCACTGAAAAACAGCGCAAATTTCAGAAGTATTCTGAAAAATTATTGCAAGTTACTCAGCTATCACACCAGCTGAACCGTTGCCACAGTATGTTGAATTTAACTCTAGAGTCTATGGAAACTTTGAATAATTATTTGGATGTTGAGGACAGGTTGGAACCCTTTGTTTGGACAACAGGATGAGAATCAATGAGCGATTCTTCTGGCTGTGATGAAGAATTTAATTCAAATGAGAGTCAATGTTAATGTTTTTTTTATATATATAAAAGATCTCTAGTTGCATACTATATTTGGAACACAGACTGGTAGTGTTGGCGTAGAACGCTGGGTAGAAATATGTTAAATGTACAAAGTTTATTTTAAAATTGTAATGTCTAAAATTTACTATTTGATCACTCTGTAAATTACGCTTAAAAATTAATTTAATTTTATTAATATTTATTTTTAAATATATAAGTATAGTATTAGTAATATTTATTTTTAACTTTTTTAATTGAAATTTTTTTATTAAAATGTACATGTTGAAAAAAATAGCTTATTATTAGTCAGTTGGCACCTTTAAAATGTTTTTTAACAAAATTAATTTATTATAAAAATGTTCATGGAAATAAATAAGATTTATTTGAACCACTTTCCATTCCTTTGGTACCCTGGAAATTGTGTCCATAAAGAAAAAAATCAATTTCCGTAGCAAGTTATTGTATATCTCCAATCCAAGGGTTACTATACCTAGGAGGAGCATATCATAAGATAGATAACGCCTACTCTAGGATTGGACACTCAATTCCCAACATGTAGGTAGAAGAAATAGGAGCGATCTATCTAGCAATGATTACAAAGAATTTAAATATGAATATTTTGTTTAGATTATATTCCTTAGACTTCAAAATCTCAACCTTCCTCTAAGAACTACATCAATGCCCAAGGAATGATCCGCCTGACACATCGAACCACCCCAAGTTTTTTGTAAGAGTTTCTGGACGAGTCCACCCCTACCCTTACAGAGGGGTTGGGAACTATTTTCGCAGCCCCCACACGATTTTTCAATTCTTTGTTTCATTAGGTCCAACATTTTAGTCTTTCCACATTATGATGTGTGCCAGTATTCCAGCAACCCCTTACGATTACCAGAAGTTAATTTTGAACAAAGACTCGATCTTAATATGAGGCAAGTTGAGTTTGAAGTCTAGGGAGTCCAATCTCTAATGGACTGCTGAATTTCAGTCTGCTGAATAGTTTCGAGTTTTGAAGTTACGATTTATTAATTTCGTAACTAGTGCTGCCATCTTTAAGACACTTCTGAAACTTCTAATATTTCATGTAGATTGAAATTAATATTAAATTTATTCAATTTGCAAATTTTAACTACATATTTGAATATTTATCAAATTATCTAGCATTTTGTTGCAAATAAAGAAAATTCGCGTATTTAATAAACAAGCCCCAGTTTTTATGCAACCAGTTATACGATTTGACTAAAAAATTGCAACTTCTTTGGAGTAACACACAGCAAATAAACTATATATTTATAGGTTAATATTAATATATACGATGAAAATTTAACATACCTACAACATAAAAGAATTTCGCACAAGCACGTAGGATGGTAATTAGACGTAAAATACACAAAAACTAAACTAGAAAAATTGGTATTCGTATGAATAATAATTGTCTGAAAACAAAACCAAATTAAAACGATCATGTTAAAATAATTAAGGATATTTACGCTAACCTCTGATACACAATTCGAACACAAGGTCCCGAAGATACATGTTACTGAGAGCGGCCTTAACCCTAGATAGGTCGCACCTTAGAAGTCGCAGCGGTCGCTGCGGGTCACCTGAACCCACTTTTAAAAATTTCCAAAATTTTGATTTGTTGATCAAATTGTATTTTTTTTTTAGTTTATGTTTTTAAAAAAGAATTAAAAAATATATACATATATTTCAAAAAGATTGGTCATAAATTATACCACATATTCTTGGGTCAAAAATAGGTCGATTAAACCGTACTTACCTATTTACAAAAGTGCACCCAAAAATGGAAATTCTACGTATGAAAAATATCAAAATCAAGTTTATTTTTAAATTACAAACTTAGTTTTAACAATGAAAATCGAATTATGATATTTTTGCATACGTATAATTTACACTGAATATTTTTAAGTTGTCATTTTAAGTGGCTGTATCGTCTAAACCAGCCATACTCAACCTGTGGCCCGCATGCGGCCCTCCAAGCTTTTTTGTGGCCCGCAACACTTATTGGGCGCAGCGCTAAATAGCATGGTCATTTTTAAATAAACGTTTGGAATTTTGTGAGGTTATTGCAAAAACAAGATAGCTCCACTTTTGGAATTTTCGAGTTAAGTACCCAGACAACACACCAAATCCCAGAGATATCCACAGAATATCTTTTGTGGATATCCAATATATCCACAGGATATCAGAAATATTCCGTGGATCTAATATGGATATCCAAATGTCCGTCTATATCCAGAATATAGAAGATATCCAGCAAAATATCTAATGGGTATCTTCCAGACAATACGAAAAATCCCACAGAATGGTTAGGAGAAATATTTTAGTTTCAAGAAATCTCCATGCACATTTAACCTCTTTTCAATTGAGATGAGGACCTGTCGCAATTTTTGTAGTAATTGCCGCACCCTCATTTTAACAATCCACCTATAAGTATTCTTAATTATCTGCATTTCCAAAAATCAGCAGAAAATTTAAATTTCACTCAATCCGGCAACGTAGCTAGAATCACGCACAAGTTTTTAAATAAAAACTACGTTTTTATCTTAGGCGGCTATAATGTCACGCTAATTTTTCTTTTGTTTTTTAATTTTAAAGATGTCTAACAAGAAGAGGGATTAGTGATAAGTCTTAGTAGTGTTTTAGTGAAATATCTCAAAGAAAATAATAAATGGTAAGTATATTTATGCAATTCAATATAAGGTGAATGAATTTTATCATTAATTGAACTAGATAATATCTGGGGATGTGCTGTGATACTTCTACATACCTAAATACTTAGGTAGATTTGTTATTTCTAGTTGAATACAATTTTAAATGATTAAACTATATTAACTAACTTTAAACTACTGTTTATTTTGGAGAAAGTGTAGATGGGTATTAGTATGTAAATTTTAAAAACTTTTAATTTATTCATCAATTTATGTTTAAGCAAGTTTATGTCTAGAACCTATCTGCAGCACTTATAGGTACATTTTAGCATTTCCTTAGTTAAATTTTTGAGATCAAGTATATCTGAAATGAAAGTTTTGTTTTCCAAAAGAACCGTAAGAATAAAAAATATTGACTAGACAAAATACTCCTCTATAATTTTTATATAATACCTAAATATTTTTTCTTTTTGATGACTGTTTTGTCGAAACTTTTTGACTAGGGTAAATTATTAGGTATTTTCTTTCTTTTCAGCTTGCATCTCGGTTTAACAGTGACAGATTTTTCGTGTAAAGGTAGGAGAATGAATGTGTTAAAATAAATAAGTAGTAATAGCAAGTTTTAAATATTTAATGAGTAATCATTGTTATGTGTATAAAAATTATGTATCGGCACAGGAATATTATTTTATAATTATTTTTTCTCATTATATACGAGGGAGGGGCGCAAATATACTGGGTGTTCTAAATTAAAGCGTTACAGCTATATACCGCTTTTTATAAAAAAAAAACGTTTCAGACGAAAGTTTTATAGTTTTGTAGGGAAAAACTTTTGGCTAAAATCGTTTTTTAAAGCTAACCATAATATGGCCAACTTTTTTTTCGCGCAGCAAAATTTTCAAGTAGCTGTTACTCAAAAAGTAAAAGTCCAATAAAAAAAATATTTCCCTCAAAAGTTTCTTATTTTTTTATGTACTTTAAGAATATGTAAGAAAAATATGGGATTCCCATTTAAAAAAACAAAGTTCACCTCGATATGGCCATATTATGGTCAGCTATAAAAAAATGAATTTAGCCAAAATGTTTCCCCCAAAAAACTATAAAACTTTTGTCTGAAACTTTTTTTTCTAAAATGCATATTTTCGGGTATTTAACTGTAACACTTTAATTTGAACACCCGGTATATGGGTACTTTTGGTCAAGGAATAAAAGTAGGTATTCCAGGTACGTTGTAGGATCTATTTAAAAAACGTTTGTTTTGCAGAGATAATTTAAAAAAGTGAGGTTTATTGCCTAGTAATTAAAAATATGCATATAACCTTTTCAGATTTTGGTAAATTAATCTAATAATTTATATAAATAAATACACGATACACAGACGAACGGTATGTTCCTGAGCATGCAGCTGACTGACGGTGACGTCACGTGGGACATAGAATTATAAGCATTAAATGGGAGATAGTGTTTAAAATTCGATATTTTGCCAATTTTAGATTGTATGCAGTTATTGGTTATTTTGTAATATATTCGTTTACAAATATGAAGGTTTAAGGTAAATAAAATAAAATATTAATGTTTCTCATAAAAATACAAGTTTGACTCAAATTTGTACTTTCTGGTCGAAGTAGTTCTCTTCCAATCTCTTTTCTTATTATGTAAAATAAAAATAAGTGTGCAGAAACAAATTATTTATCTACAAAAAGTAAGTACACAAAAACATTACTTTTTATTTGGTAAATTTAAACATTTTTTTGTCAAGTTTACTTTGAAAATACTCAAAACCAGTTTTCCTGTTCATTTATCTTATTCTTATATATGTTCGTGTCCTGCTCATGCATGGCATTACTTCAAAAGGATCGTTGTATTGGGACATGAAACTACTGTTTTATCTGCTGAAATTTTTAAATACCGATTTATTTTCTTTGCTTAATGAGGCCCGTACACCTGGTGGAATTCAGTTTCCTTTTCTTGTGTCTATGTTTAAGAGGAATCTCACAACTACTTTCCTCAAAATGGATAGGGCAATTTCAATTAAGTTTATCCTTTCTTCGATAAGAATTTACCCATATTTTGTGGCATTCGGAAATATCTTCACTGCACAGCATTTTAAACATTAATTTAGTTCTTCCCTGTTATATATGGGACAATATAGTCACTACTAACACAAAAACATAAATTATTTTACACGACTCAATGGAAAAGTGTCAAAATAACTTAAAAGTTCGTCCCGCATTACGTCATGCGCGGTTGGGACGAATTTTAAATCGAAAGTCAGCATACCTTTAGTATGTGTATCCTGAATAAATATATTTACTTTATTCTTCAGCTAAAATCATATTTTTGGGTTTCAATCGATTTTAAAAATGTTGGTAAACCTCTAGGTTGCATTTTAATTTTTTTTTCTACGTAAAAAAACAGTTTTATATCCAAAAACTTTTCATTGAATAAAAAAAGTGCCTACGTTAGTTCGTAAAATTTAAAAAAATGTAAATATTTTTTAAACGATCAATCATTGAAAGGAAACTTTTAAATCTTAGCTAGTTTTTTTGAGTGTTTTGCATCATTGATGTTATTATAAAAGCTCGATGTTTTTATATTTACATCAACGATTTTGTTTGGGATCATTCCCTTTCTCTCTGACAATAAAGATATTTGATTCACGCTATTTACGTCTTTTGAAATCATTTATTAAGGGTTACATCTTTTAGAATTTAATTCTAAGATATGTTAGCTCTATAATAATTAATTTCTGATGTAAATTCTTGGATTAAATAGACAAGGCTGCAGCAATACTGCTCGGTGATATCTCATATAATTATTAAACTTATTTGAATCAATCACATATATAAACTTCAAATTCTTGTTTTTCCTTCTGTAATATAACACTAAAGTGTTTGATTTTGGAATGTTAATAAATTGTAAGAGTATCTAGGGGCTGTTATTAGAGGTAGGGAATGATAGAATGATTGTTGATGTTGGAATGAACTGACGTCGCCGGGAACAGAAGATTTCCTGAGTGTAAGAAAATGTCTGGATATGGATCGAATAATGCCGTTAGTGGAATGAAAAGAAAGCAGCATGGTTTTTATATAAGGTGAGTCTTTTTTTCAATAACGTATAAATTATACTTTGGCTCGTCTATTCCGTTTAAAAAATGACGAAGATGTCCTTGTCCTGGTAGAAAACACAGTTAAACATATTTTCAGAAGTTTTCTGGATTTTTGTTTTGAGTTATCGTAGTATTAAATTGACTGTAATGATTTAATGAAATGTATAATATTATCATTTCATAAAAAAATATCTCTAAAACTTTTATAAACATAAAAATAAGAATATTTCATGTTATCAGTAGCGTAGCCACGGGGGATTTTAGGGGCCAAACCCCCTCTACCCCATTGAGGTTCCTCGCGTCACCATTTCCGCTATAGTATTAGCACTGATCGCTATTAACTGTTTTTATTAACTTTCTTGATAAACCCCTCCCATGAAAAATGGCTGGCTACGCCATTGTATGTTATTATAACTGGTTATTGCTTTACACACAACCTAAGATTTATTCTATACGCTGAAAAATAGTAAAAATCCAATGTTTTAGAAGAAGAAAAAATCTTTATTGGGGATAACCCCAAAGGGCTATTGACCGGAGTCTTTCTGCCCCATGTTAACACTTGCTATTCGCAAGTGATTTTCATTTTTGCCGTAAGCTGTCATAATTATAAGTCGTAAATGTTGATTGGTCTGAATAACTGAGGTTAGTATTTGAATGTCATTTTGACAATATAATTAATAATTCAACATTAAAAATTAACGCGGTGAAAAAGCAAATCTCTAGGGCCCAAAAGCAAGACCTACTGTAGTATATTGAGGCCAATCCCAATATTATAAAAAATCAAAAACATAATAATCAGCATATAGTAGCTGCTGACTCCAAAAAATGTGTGAGGACTTGACAGAGAAATTAAATGCTATCCCCGGAGTAATCAAAGACTGGAAATATTGGAGAAAGGTATGTATTATTGTCTGTAATAATAATAATAATTAATTAATGGCAATATAAAAATAAATATATTGTATAAATAAATTATTATCACACCTAACACTTGCAGCTAGAGAAAGTACAAGCTCATTTTAATTAGCTTTAATAATAACAAGATTAAAAAATATTATGACCGAACTTTTAGCTTCATTAATATTGTATATATATTATCTATAATCATGATATAACGACTTTAACGTAGTCTCTGCTTTTAGTCTTGGAATAACATCAAATCCAGAACCATAGCAAAAAAATCTAGAAACAATAATTCTTATATGGGTGGTGGACCAGGAGAGATGGAGGAAATGACAAATCTAAAAGTTTCTGCCAATATCCAACTGATAACTACCTCCTGCCATGAAACGGAGTGCTGCTAATAACTAAAATATGAGAAATTTCAAAGTTAATAATATTTTATATCATCTAAAACTAAATGATTAAAATCTAAGTACTCATTTTTCTATTTACAGTCAATGCAGTGTTTATTTATGGATTCGGCACTAAGGATTCAATGAAAACCACTAAGTTAGTCACATCATCCTTTCGCAAAGTTCGAAAGCTTTCTCTGGGTCATAATAGCGTCGGATTTTGCAATTTTCAGCATCTTCGATGTTTTGAATAACATTTTGATATATATTAATATTTAAGTCCATATTCTAAGTGTTTAGCTTATCTACGTCCACAAATCTTATTCAAAACTTGCAGTGCGAACAGCAAAACGCTGCTCGTCTGTAACTTTTTTGAAAGCGCTTTACGTTTTTCAAATGCGCACGGCACAGCAAGTGCAGAATACCAAAACGTTCGTGCCATACGCTTTTGTGAGTTGTTTGTCGCGTTTCTAGAGGGACGCGCTTTCAAAAACGTTGGTTAGAGAATAAGCCCCCAGATCGGGTTTATGACCTTTTAAGCACCGACCATAGAACTGATTTATAGAGAAGACAGTTTCTTACAAGTGTCGCTTTTTTACGGACGGCTCTCAGGCGCCAGATTATTTAATGTATGTATTCCACAAACTCTTTAAGCAGCGTCGAAAGTACTCGGATAGCTACAGATGGAGATGAAAAATTCCAGGGGCTAATAGTTACTTGCGCTTGTAAAGAATTTTACTGGTTGAAAAATAAAAAAAAAAAAAATAATGACTCACTAATACGCAGGACTAACGGTGACACATATATTGGATTTAAAATAATACAAGTAAAATTAAATATGGTTTGGGGAAATGATTAACTATTGAATTAGTTAAACGTTAAGGTCCATATCTACGGCCGAATCGTGGTTAGCGATTTTTTTTACAAATTATGATAACACCGGCACACAAAAAAAAAGTTGTTTGTACATCAGGCACGACCTACCTACCGGCATGTATTTTGACCCGCTGAATCCGAATTTCAAGTCAGAAACTGATAAGAGGGACATTATCTTCTTTCAAATTTAATAACTTCGAAGTATTTACATTGATTTTACTTCTATTTTTTATCACTTTTGGCGAGTTATTGAAATTAATGGGTTCAGTAGTATTAATCCGATTATGATAATTTTTAGGCACAAATGTATCTAATTTTTCGTTATCGTCATTGGTTTCAGTGGTGGTAACATAAGCATTTTGATTATGATAACTCGTTGAAGGTGATAGAGTTTTTAAACATAGTAATGGATTTGGGTTTAGGACCGATTCCACCGTTGTGTTAAACGGAGATTAAAATGACATTGTTAATGTAAAAATATCATTTTAAACTCTGTTTAACACAACGGTGGAATCGGTCCTTAGTGTTGTTGGGGATAATAAACCACAATAAATATTGCGAATTCGCAAAACTTTTTTGGAATACGAAAACTTGATACATGCACATGTAAGTCCGCCATATTTGCAGATCTGCAAAGTTGCCGCCATATTTGCAGATCTGCAAAGTTGCAGACGTTCTGTAATCTCACCCTAGGTCAGTAATATGAAATTGTCATATTTTATGTTTTGACATATGACATTGGTTTATGTTTAGACCAGAGATAAATCTCTGGTTTAGACATTATTAATGACATGTTTTTGTGGTGTTGTTATTTGATAGTATTTGATGATTGAAATTGTTTTATTGATTAATTTTTAATGAGTAGTTTTCTGGTGGAAAGCTTTGCTGTCACACGGACTCTGAAATTTTCTTTGCCTTTATTTTTCAGATAATTTTTCTTTGGTCTTCAGCTTTGAGTTTATTTAGCCATTAGATCAACTGATATGTTGAATTTTTTCATTTTCATTTCATGTTAACCAGAATGCTTTTCCGGATTATAGTTATATAAAAAACATTTTTTTAGTGTGGGTGGAAAAAGTGGGTAATTTTTAAAACCGTGGGTGGATAAAGGGGGAATTTTGGGATTAACTGATGGGAAATTTTACATTTTCAATTCGACAACACTGTTTGTGATATATGCTGAATTTCAGGGCCATTGCCATAACCAAAATTTTTCAATTTTCTTCTTTTTGCTGTTTTGAGACAAACCAGAAACACAAAGAAAGCGAAGTTATGTTTTTTACTGTTTATTTGATTTAATGCTCTATTGTGACGTCATCTCTCGGTCTCATCAAGCAAACATGGCAATCTACCAAATGAGTAGCAAAAGCGACAATCTCAATTTTTTCTTTATTTATTAAAATAACTGTGACGAATTTTTAATATTTATGCAAATCAGCATAATTCTTTAACACCGATAAATATAAAAAATTAATAAAACAACTCTAACATTTCCCAGGAACTTAAAAAGTTTTCAAAATTACCCAAAATTCTTAAAAATGGAGATTGCCGCCTTTGGTTCCACACATCTCATATATTTAAATATCTACTTTACTTTTTGCAATCTTACAAAGGTAAGAGTAAAACCATGGTATTCCCCTACTTTATTGGATTTAATTTTTAGAGAAACAATAATTAAAATTGGAGTTAGGATATGAATAAAGGTTAAATAACGTATTTGCGAGAATAATAAAATGTCAACTGTACATAAATTAGATTTTATTAACCTGTCATTGTCGTTCTCTACAATAAAAAAAGAAATATAAAATACAATAAACAATACACACCAAAATGAAAATGTATGTCATGTGTATTTTTCCTCATACTCATAGGTTATTGGCAAATACAAAAAACAAAACTACACATATACAGTGCTTACATAATAAAAGTGAATATTTTATACAAGTAGCAAATAGGTACAGATAATTTAAATTTAATAATTAATAAATCTAACTATGTATTTAAAAACTTATTTCGCGCCAAAGTCCCGCTGTGGGAAAATGCGGCCCTTAACGCACCGTCTGACAGTTCCTTGACAGGACAACGGGGCGATACAAGATCAGTCATGCAACTGTGCACCATCGGTAAGCCAATTTTCTTATTTTTACCTAACACTAGATGTGTATGCACAGACAAAACTTTAAACGCGCTTTGGGTCAGTACAAAAGTTCTTCATTTTTTGCTAATTTACAATATTTTTTCCTATACTGACTTTTAGATACCAATTTCTAGATCCATTGCAACCATTATTCTGCTTACGAAATATTTCACAATTTTTATATAATCACTTCTACAAAAATTTTTCATTAAATGAAAAAAAGCACAGTAGTTTATTTGCATCATTAACAAAAATTAAATATAAATTTAATTCAAAATCAAAGGGCAAATAAGATTAATGACAATTATTTCAACATATTTCTTCAATTTTTTTTATGATTTTAAATGAGAAGAGTTGTGCAACAATCAGCAAACTTTCAAGTTCTTTTTATTTTCACAGCTTAAATCATTTCAACGATTATCTTTTTATTAGCATGAATGGTTATTGCATAAAAGGGCTCAAATAACTAAAAAGTATTTAATTTTCTCCCTAACATTTTCGTAATATTTTTTTTTATACATTTTTTAAATATTTTCTTTCCGCCTCAATTAAACAATAAAAAAAGGAACCATTAAACATTTATTAAAAATGCAATTGGCTGTTATTCATTTGGTATCAACAATAAAAACGCACAATAATTCATAAAATATTTCATTTTCAATCTCATTGTCAGCTAATATGTGGAAAATTCCCACCATATATTTAATAAAAAGAAGTCAGTTCGTAAATATTTTTATATTCCTACTTTTTCTACTCTTAAATATTTCAGTATTGCAAAACAATTGAACATCAACTATACTTTCAATGATTTCGAAAAAAGTATATACAAAAAATGCTTTTAATATTTTGAAACACCATTTTTTATCACAGAATTCCTTATGTATTTATTCCACTTTTTTATAAGAGCATTTTTTACTGTTAAAATAAACAAAATACACTCCTTTGTGTATAAGTTTAAAATATATTATAAAAAAAAGCAATTTCATAAGCAGAATAATAGTTTTTATCCTTGTTATTAATGTTTTTATCTTGCCAAAACGTCAAACAACGAAACATTTGAATTGACTTCCGTCTGCTCAGTTGAATACAAAACGCCCGACCTCTCTTTCAAATAACTACTAAAAAAAAAATTAACAAAGCTCTTTTTGACCATAAAGAACAAAATTAAGCGGTTAACTGGCCGAAAACTAAGTCTTTACATATCCTTGGTTATTTTGAAAATGAAATAATAATTGCACAAAATTGCGATTCGACGCGTTCAAATTTTATTAACATAACCTAAAAATATTCCTATGAAATTATTACCCTACACAAAACTCAAAATGTAAAAACTTTTTAAATTTAAACATCATTTAAAAAGTATCATACAGGCTTCCGTTTTATTTTACAAATTTTGATATCAGGTCAAAAAGTATAAGAAAAAGCCTTTAAGACTAAAAATAAATAACTTACGACTCTTCACACTTTCTCATAAAAATTACAAGCTAATAATAGTAATAACAAAATGGAACCACCTAGTTTTTTTTAATATGAGAGGAGGGGTTGGGGCAAAACAGTGAGCAGGCATTTAATTGGCTGTATACCCATTGTTTTAAGCTTGGTTCCAGTAAGAGGTCTGGTATGGTTGCTTGGGGCCCGTTTTCGCTTGATTTGTCGCCTGAGAACGTTGACCACCAGCACTTCCTGAATCCTAAAAATAAAATATATTTTTTAATAATTTCACATGACGGTGAATAGAATACGCAAAGCTACATTGACACAAATTTGGTGCAAAATATTTTATTTAATTTAATACAGATAATGATGTAAAATTAAAATTAGTAATGTGTTTAAAGTGCAGTTGATATGTTCATGTGATTTAAAGCATAGGAATGGTCAATTTTACATTTTTTTTTAAATCGAATATTGCAATGGTTAAGAAATAAGTAGTTCACACGATATATATGTAACGCCTTTTACATAATTTTTCTTACAGACGTATCACAAAACAGAAACGATGTTTAGCGATGAAAAATATATTTTCTGGGACAAGACGAGTTCTATTTCCATTAGCATTAGCGAAATAAACTGGAAATTAAAAGGATATTTCCAGAAAACATATACTTAGTGGCTTAATTTACATACAGGTTCGGAAATAAAAACGTAGGCCACGTTAAGCCATATCTATTAGTGACGAGCATAAGTGGTAGTGAGGTGGAAGTCGTACGTACCATGCACCAGGCCATAGAATAGGTAATGCTCTAAGCAGTATTTGTTTTACACGTGATCCTATTATACCTTGTTCAATTGTAAAATTCGCGATTAGATTTCCGTACCTGTATTTGTGTAAGCATGTACAGTATGAGAATTTTTTTGAGGTAAAATCCATTTTATTAAAGAAAAGTATAGGCAACATCTAGAGTACCGTTTTTCTGACAATTTCCTTATAAAATCGGTCAAGAGAAAGTAATTAGTCTTCAACTGTTTTGTTTCAAATCTTTTTTTTTTATAAAGTCTGGTTGAGCAGGGGCAAAAGCAATTTTTTTGCCTAAAAAAAAAAAACATCTAGGATGGAGATTTAACTGTGTTTTTTATGCCCAAGGTCGACTACTTTTCCGGACATATTCGTCGGACTAGTCCAAAAATTACTTTTAATGAAAAGTCCCATCACTACTATTTACTGATGAATCTACTTTCAATAAATTAAAACGGATTTGTAGAGAGACATTATTACAGCACCGAAAATAAACATGAATTTCGAACTGTAGATCTATAAAGCTGATGGTCGTTAAACATTTATAGTGGAATTATAGGAAGACAGGAGGCCCTATTTTTTTGATGGCTATTTAGATGGAATTTTTTTTTATTTTTAAAGAATTATTTCTGAAACCTTTTGGATATTAGACGAAAAATGTGACTACAGCTAGATGATTCTCCCGTCCATTTTTAGCACAATATCAGGATATATTTAGACCAAAAATTTCCAGAAAAATAGATAGGAAGAAGAGACCCTACTAATTGCCCCTCTACATCACCCAACTAACCACTCTAGATTTTGTCTTATGGGGATATGTTAAAAATGTAGCTAAATATATGAAAACACGCATTCGTGATGCGTTTGCTATTTAAGTAATGTAAAAAATAATTTTGAAAATCATATCAGAATATGCTTTGACAATAATGGACATCATTTTGAACATTTATTGTAAATTTTAAATTTATTGACAAATTTTGGAATGTTTATTTAATGGCTTTGTTAAAATAAAACTATTAGTACAGCGCAAGTAGAAGTTGGAAAGGCTTTTGGTAGGAAGAGAGGGGGTAAACGTCAACCACGTCGGACGACTTCGAGAATTTCGCAGTAATGTTTACCTGCCAGTGTCGTTTCATAGAATAAGTAATTTTAAATTGTTACCGGCGGAACTGGACAATCGCATGTATTTATGGACTATAAATAATTATTAAACATGTATTATAATATTCAAATCATATTTTACAAACAACAGCTATTCACAATTTATTAAACTATTTACTCGAAATTGTTATTAACATCTATAAAATAATTTTGTACGCCAATGTATCGTGTCCACTTCGGTGAGATCCGCCGCAAACCTGTCAATTTGTGTATAAAGTGGGAGAACTGGCAAACGCCTTTCCAACTTCTACCTGCGCTATACATCTTTGAAAGATATCGATTAATTGAAACTAGGTTTAAAAATAGTAAATATAGGTATAGGAATCCTTATAGAACCTTTAACGTAAATAACTTTCCTTCATATTGGTACCATAAAATACAGGATGTTCCATTTAAATTAACGCAGTAATTAAGTAAAACATTTTACTGCAATAAAACTTCAAATTGCAAACATTTTTTGAATATTGTAATGATTCTGATAAAAACTTACATTTTGTAAGGAACTGCAAAAAATATAGGGTGTCCCATTTAAAATAATATTACTTTATATTGGTATTGTGGTTTGGTACACCCTGTATATATAAAACTAATTTTAATTTATAGCCGCCGTTGAGTTGTATATTTGTGCCAAAGGAATATTTAATATAGTTTGTAGTTTACCCACCAGGCTCTGCCCCATTGAGGGTGGCGCAACCTGTATATATATTTTTCATGTTTTATTTATTGTTTTTCATTTATTTTATTTCTCTCGCTTTGAACTTGCTTTATACCTAAAAAGATCAATAACGTACTAATAACATAAATAAAAGTTCATTGTTTTATTTCCAACATATTACGACTCTGGTCAAATAGCATTGGTGTCAGAATGGAACACGATTTCATGCGACGTTAAGAGTACTCTCTTTATACCTAGTCTAAGATTTAACCCTCTAGCAACTGTGGTGTTAAAGGATATATGGAGTAACTCAAATAGTGACATCTTTGAGGCTATAGCTTCTCCACGATGGAACCATGGGCGATTGTGCTACAGGCCAATTTAAAGACATCATATGGGTCCTAAATAACAAAAGAATCACTGAAATGCGTAAAATCCGCACAAAGCCATTTTACATGTATTCCTTTGTATATCGTTTAATTAACTGGATTTACCAGTTTAGTTTAACTGTAAATCAAACACCATCCCACCAATAAAAATACTCCCAACTTTGGTGGGTCCATATGATCCTCTTAGGGTTAAAATTGTATGCCTATGTATCTGTCTAAAGTAAACAACAATAAACCAGTATTAACAAAAAATCGCCTGTAATAGCTTCGTTCGCTGAGCCGATTCCAAATGTATTCTGAACGCTAAGGGAGACCATACACGCCTGCATAAACATTTAAACAATACAGATTAGTCATAATATGAAGTGTAATTTTTACCTTAGCGTTCAGAATCAGTACAGGATTGTTACCGCGAACGAAGCTAATGTATCATTCAGAAAATGGCACAGTACTGTTTTCCAGTTATTTGAACAATGACAAGGATATTATTTCTAATGAGAGTGGCAACATAACAAAATATCAATATGAAACTATTTAATATAATTCTTTTCGGGGGTTTATGTGGTTATGTATGTTCAATCACAATCTTCTTTTTTTAATCATTTTGAGAGCTTTTTTAACAAATCGAAAACACTTATGAAATAAAACTAGATATTTTCGACACATGAATGCAGTGTCCGATCCTAGGATCTTTGCCAAAAAAATGATAAAATACATTAAAGAACGACCAAGAATATTAGATTATTTTAATAAGAACTATGAACCGAGAAGCTTCTCTCACATCGTTTTTTACGGATCTATTATGACACTTTCAAGTTTGAATAAACGTTTTTGTTTAGTTCCATCTAGGAAGTAACTCTGGTGTCTGACTCTTGATGTATACTTAATAGACATGACTTCCCTAAAGAGACGAAACAGGATGGAGATATTATGTGAAATTAGTAACAACACCACAATAAGCTCATGAGGTTGGAGGAATCTGATGAGGGAGGGAAGAAAAAAAGTGAAAGAAAATAATATTAATTTTACTTTAGATCAGTTATACTCAACCTTTTTTTCCTTTGGGCTACATACATATGTTTATGTTACACGGGCCGCAGCATTTTTGGGTGAAGCCCTTTTTATATCATCCATTTAAAATTAGTGGGGGCGTGATTTTACATTTACTGCCCATGTAATAAAACACAAAATCTAAATATATCAGAACGTTTATTCAAAAATTAGCATGATTTAGCAAAGCAATTGATGAATGTTCTTGCGCATTTCACTAAAGATTTTAAAAACTAGACATCCAAAGTTTTGAAAAAATAACAGTTTATCATGAGTTTATTCAGGGACGCGGTATATTTTTTAATTGTATAATTATAGCTTGTGTTAATCCAGTATGAATAGTATTTTCTTAATGTAACTACTTTAAGTGTTATATGATCACTTTTATGGTCAATAAGGCGTGATTGGCATATTATTATTATTCACAATACTAATAAGCAAAAACCCCATGCAAAAACCCAACATTTTATTTAGCCAAATACAAAAAGCATGGTGAGTCCAATAATGACTTACCATGCGTCGATTCTGGTGCCTTACATCCATCTATAAAAGCAAAACAAAATCTAAATAACCACAAGAAGTGATGCATGCATATAAAGTATTAAATTTATATTAGATAATTTTTATTGTAGCAAAAATTATCAGATGCACACAAGGAAGAGTACTAGATTTTTTGTACGATTAAATTCAAGATTTAGTAAAAGTTATACTATTTTTTACACAATAAGAACATAAAAGTGTTTTGCAGCATTCTTAAATTAATTTGCAAAACACTTTATTTCGTAAAATATTTTACCTCATTGTGTAATTTAATAAAATTTTGTAATTTCTTATACATCTGGGGTGAGATAGCGAAAACAAAAACATATTTTTTAGGAAAATGGTTTTACAAAAGCCCAGTGAATAATGTCTGAGAAATGATTTGACTTTTAATCCATTTTTATTATGACATTCCCCTCTCCCCTGACTATCAAAAAATAAGATTACATAGAGTTCGACCCATAATTATTAAAAAAAAAAAAAAAAAAAGGGAATTCAAGCGTATGAAAGTAAATCGACATCAACATCTTCCGTTTTGTTTTCTTTCGCTAGGTGACCCTCTATATTCCCGGACAAAATTAACGCAATAAAATTAATTGTCCAATATAATATGTATATTATTAATTTTGTCCAGGAGAATAAGATAAATTACAATTAAAATGTTTACAGTAGTAATATATTGCAAAAAATAGTGTTTTAATAATCTATTATTTGATTATTAATCACCAAAATTATGTTGGGTTAAGTGGAGACATTCCTTATTTTAAGAGAAAATAATTGTTAAAAAGTGAAAATAAGCACTACCTCATCATCACTCTCAAATGTGCTTAGATCAGAATTTTGTAAAAACAATAGTTTCTCCTGTTATATACCTAATAGCTTAAATAAAATATAAATTTTTGATTTTAAATACAGTTCAAAATTTGCAAAAACGGTAGGATTTTATCATTCAAAACATTTCTATTCGTAACATTTTACATTTATTGAAATATTTTTTAAATGAAAATTAAGTAAAATTGAAATAAAAATGTTTAAAAATATATTAAATGTTCAATAAGGTCAATATTTGACAGTGAACCACCCTATTTCTTTATTACATTTTTATCCTTTGTATTGGAGAAACTTCTAAAAATATTTTCGTAAAGTTTTATATTCTTTCATTTGTAAAAACGTCTATATTTGTAAAAAAAAAAAACACAGTAGGTATATAAAAAAATAATAAAATATTAATATTTAATTTAAAAGTGAAATGGAGATAGATCTTAACAAAATACTGGTATTGAAACAAAAAGTGACAAGATACCACTTAAAAAAAAATAGAAGTCTTATGAAAATAGTATCAAAAGTATTAAATATTTGTGATTAACGAATATTTAGCGCCAATGATTCGTTTTTAATTTTTAATTTTGAGTATTTACCCCTACTAAAGAATAAACGACCAATAAAAAATAAAGGTAACTACAATGAAAACAAAGTTGTCATGAAACAAATGGGGCTTGGTACTGTCTTTTACAACATGCACACTTGCTTAAATCTGTATTATTTTAATGGTTCACTGCAACTAGTTTGTTTACTGTTGAACAACTGACCCTATGCCACAAAAGTAGGCTCATTTTAGGCTAATTTTACATCAACATAAAAATTATCCGCTTTTTTATTTATAAGAAAAATTAGGTGCTCTGCTAGCTTGATATACATACATATATATTAATCAATGAGATATTTGAAATGAAATAAACTTATTATGCAGATCATAAACTGAACAAGCTTTGTAATTTACACTTTACAGCCATTTTTAAAGTGTTCTCATTACAGTTGAATCCAGAAAGAATAGGCAGTAATTGAATGTCAGTAATTTGCGAAGAATGCTGACAAGAGTTTTCATAATGTGCAATATCAAAGATATACCAGTCACTAAACCTTCAAACTTTGGTGAAATAGCAAGTACATTGTTCTTCACATATTCCATAACTGTCTGCTATTTCCATATTCAACTATAATCACTTTCACTCCAAAATTATTAAAACTGTATAAAGTGTAAAAAAACAACAAAATAAGCACCAATTTATAACAGGAAAAACTTTTTAAAAAAATCTATCAAAAAGTGAGAATAAGCCAAGCATGCTACATTTCACTTCTGATCTAAAAAATAAGGTACATTTTCATTTCAACAAATAACATACCTGATGAAGTGGTTGTTGCATCAGATGCGTTGTATGGTGCTGTTGATGGGGAGCCATTGTGGGTATGTAGACTTGAGGCGCGTAACCAGTCCCGCTGGGAGCTAGACCTGCATTTTGACTACCATGAAGTGCGCCCGTAAATGGGGGTGGTGTCCCCGAATGGAAACCCTGTTTTTCATAAGACTGCATGAAATAAAGAAAACATACTTTACAGCTTTAGCTTCTATACATTTCAAAATATTATAAAACAACCTTGCTTAATACAACGCAAAATGAATGTTTATTTTTTAAGGATTAAAGGTGTTGGATTTGCAAAATATCAAAAATGGAAATTCCATATTATTTATAAATAATACCTAATTACCTTGCCAGAAAAAAAATGACCTACACCAAAAATACTGTAAAAAATAACCAATAAGTTGGAGTTAGAAAAAATGGACAAAGAAATAAAATACAACATGCGGAGAACCGCAGTAGTTCTGGGAATCAAGACATGAAGACTGTAAAGTGAGAAAACAAATGAATAAAACAAGAGTTAAATGGATAAACGAACAAAAAAAAAACGACTAGGACAGAAGAGACTATGAAATAAAAGGAAATAAGGTAATATACAGAGAAAAAATGAGTGGAAAAACAATAAAAAACAATTTTACAGGAAAATAAAGATCCAAACAAATAAACCAGGAATTAGAACTAGTGCAATAAAAAACGATGAAGGACAGATACGGGCCCCAAAAAATTGGAAAGGCTACTACAAAAAATGTTTATTAAGAAAGGTAAACAATAACCAGAGGATGAAAATATGACACCACAAGAACAAGGCTATTCACCAAAAAGAGACATACTACAATACAAAATTAAAGAAGAATAGTAAATTCTCAAAAGAATAGAATCAGATTTTCTCAAGAATGGATACCAGCAACTTTACAAGTAGATAGGCACTAATAACTCAAATATGGAGATAAAACAATATTCCAGAATTCCATATAACAAAAAGAGTGAAGAAAGGTGATTCAATCTCTCCAATCCTGTTTAGTATTAGAAAACATCTAAAGAGTAAAAGAACTGAACAAAAAAAATCTATACAGATGACATTCAAATAATCGGATACGCAGATAATCTAACAATAGTGAAAAACTCGAGTAAAAACTGATAAGAGCAATCGAAAGAATATATTAAGAAGCTAGACAACTTGGAATGGAAATAAACCAGAACAAACCAAAATATATGAAAGTAGGAAGAGAAGTTATATGCAGAAATACATAAAAACACACGTATTGATGATGGTGGGGAGACTAGATTTGCTTCAAAACGAAATCGATGCGATTATCATGGTAAGATGAATATTGAATAGCACAAATTCGAAAGTCATCCCTTTCAACTGTCTAAGAACAACAAGAAAACCAAGAAGGGAACAAACAAAAGAAAGGATCCTTAAAGCAAACCAAGCCTAATAAATCTTCTGGAATGCAATTACATATGCAGTCGAAACAGCAGCAATAAATAAAAATACTAGAGAGGAAGATATTGAGTCATCTAACAGAAAACTAATAAAAAAATTAAAGACTAACTTAGAAGTGAAGCAATCATAAGATACATAAAAACCCAGCGTCTGAAGTGAGCAGGACATACCATGAAGAAAAATCCAACATAATTGCTATTAAGAATAACACAATGGATCCCACTGTTAAAAAGGAGAAGAGGAAGACTCAGGAAAAGATATAGAAGATTACACGATAATACTAGGAAAACTAAAACTGGAAATTGAAATGCAAAAATAGGGAGAATTGGACATAAACAAGGACCCATCAAAATTTGTAATACAATCAAGAAAAAGAAAAGTAATAACTAATACAAGATAAACCATAATATTTATAATATGCGCATGCTACTTTTAGCAAAAACTTACATTAACCTTCCCTAAAGCTGTATGAGATTTAGCGTACATAGCAGACAGATCATTTCCCGTGGATCCCGCGGAGGAAGCGTTTCCACCACTAGCCTTTTGCGCTTGCGCATTACTCACGTAAGCACCTTTAGTGTAATCCTGTGATTGGTTCAAGGCGTCGTAGCTGCCGTATCCTGAACCGTATGTCGCTGGTTTTGGATACTGTGAGCTGTTGTTGGAACCGTGCGCGTTTGTAGCTGCAGGCAATTGCTAAAAATGTTAAAAGTTTTCGTGAATACCTTTTTTTATTGAAAGAGAATAGGTTATATTTTGTTTGGTATTCAGACTGCCGGTGACATCTTAAGGTAAAGGTAAAGCTGTAAACTATATACTAATCGCAAAAAACTTGCTGTTAGCAACTGTTTGCAGTGCACCTTCACATTCAGTCTCGTCATCGTTTCATCATAATGAATATTTATTTGGTTTCATATATATTCAAACTGTATCTATTTGAAATGGGTAATTAAATAATAATTATAGTCTAATCAATGATAAACATCATAAAATAGCGTTCAGAGGTTTATATTAAATAAAACTAAATTCAAATAAGAAATAAATGTGTCCCAAAATTTATGACAGTAATTATCTCTAGAACCTATTGAAAACAATTAAAAATTGTAGGTTTTATACCAACTTGGACTAAGAAAAATTGCTCTGACTGAGACATGGTTATGTGATGGTATTTATTCAGAAGAACTTTAATGATTGATAGATATACAGTGATTAGAAAGGACTGAAATACATCAGTCTGACAAGGAGGTGGTGTTTTAGTTGCATTCAAAAAAAAAAAAAAGATTCCTTATTAAGTATTAGATACCAAAGATTGTGATGTAAAGTGTATATTTGTCAAGTTGAAATTTAAATAACTGTTGTTACTGTATCGGCTGTATATTTTCAACCCAGTTCTTGTTTAGATGATTATACTAGTTATTTTAATCAGTTCAAAAGTCTTTTAACAAGCAAGAAAACCAAAGTTTTATTTTTAGGAGATGTTAATCTTCCATTCTTAAATATCAATATCTGTGATAATGACAAAAATAATTCACTAGAAGTGTTTAATTTGCAACAATTAAAGGATATATAAAATGTTAAGCATATGTTTGAACCTGCTAACATCTAATGCTGAAATACCACAAATTATTAGACCTGCTCATCAACTTATGGCTAAGGACCCTTACCATCCTGCACTACTTTTCCAGGTTTTGCTATGTACAAGTTCCAGTATTGTGTAACAAAAAAAGTATATATATAATTTTTCCAAAGGAGATTTTTCACTTTTGAATATTCTTGTCCAAAATTATAATTGGTCGGAACTGTCTACAATAACAGATGTAAATTTTTTTGATGTTTTTTGCATATAGCTGTTCTAAGCAGCAGATTAAAAACTCTTGTAAACTTCGATTTTCTCTGAGGCATTCTATGGATTTGATACGTCAAATTACAGAGAAGAATAAGTTACATCATGTTATTTCAAAAAAAGAGCAAGTCCGTTATTGTCCAATTATTTTTAAAACTTAAGGAATATCATCAAACTTAAAACAAGAGATGAATACAAAACATACCAGAAAAACATGAAGAACAAATCTAAACTCTGTCCCTACATCATTCTGATAGTAAAATCCACTAGCCCTGATAAAATCCCAACTTACATTATATAAAGGTATAGCAGAATATATTGCATCGCCATTAAAACATATATTATCAATCTTGCTATTAAAAATAAATATTTTCTTGATGCCTTAAAAACAGCACAAATAACACCTACTTTTAAGAATGGCGAAAAATGACGTTAATAATTACAGACCCACTAGTCTACAATTATGGATGCATAAAAGATAAATCCGCCATAACCAATCTTTCAATTATATTAGCAGCAGTTGAAACAATATTAAATAAAAATCAATTGGACGTTATTTACACGGATTGTGAGAAAGCATTTGACAAGGTTAATCACTAATTGTTACTCAGTAAACTGGACAAAACTGAAGATGATTATTTTATCAAATCATACCTTTCAAATAGAATCCAATGGGTTAAAGTAGGTATGTGTGAATGAGAACCCATCATTGCAATTTCAGGCGTACCGCAAGCTGCAATTTAGGACCTCTACTTTTTTATGTTTTATCAACACATGATTTCAAACTTTTTTGAAATAATAGTAAATAAATTTTGTAGATTTATGTTGAATAAGGGATACGTCACTAAAGCTGATGACCTACATCTATGAAAACTGGGTCACCAAGGGTCATTGACTCTGAATACTCTGGTCGTTAATCTGTTGATTTAGCAGTAGTCACACTCTTTGACCGAATCTCTATTTGGGAACTTGCGCATTTTCTGAGTGTCTAAGTTCTGTAGAAAATTTGAATGAATTGGGATTTTTATAGCTTTTTAGCGCATGAATTTAAGAAAATTATTATTGATAGTCAAATTATTAGTTAGGCTTTAAAGACTTTATGCACCAGATTCGCAGTCATTCTCTTTCCAATGCATTAGCATATATGGGAAATTAAGTATAAATACCACTTTTCTATACTTCGGTTTTTACACATATTACATATATAATTATGTATCTCGCAAAACTATTCATGCTAACTCTGTACTCCCTTTTATTAGACAATGCGTAATTCCTTGGAAATGTGTGATTGTATATTAGGCTAACAAATATACCAAAGTACTTCAAACTTTATTTTACTCTTTATGGGAAGTAAAAGCTCTACGGTTAGAAATGACACATTGGAAACATACATAAAAATGTTAGGCCTAAAAACGGCACATAATCTAAATTTCCGGTTGTACAAAAGAATAGGTGTTAAATAAAAAAGTATTCAAAATTCATCTGTTCTTCCTTCATAACACCTACATTGAATTCTTAAACATAAATTTGTAGTCTACTAAAATCACTTCGTGGGGATCTACTAGACGAAATTTAGGCCAAGGTTATGTATATTTGAAAAACTAGGTTAGGGCCTGGCCAAGCTACATCACTTACGTATAGAATCTGCCATCTGATACAACGCTATGTGAGATTGGTTTAACAATCAAGGGTAGACTAATAGTCGGAAAAATCATAAATTAAATCAAAAATTAAATAATGCTTGCTAAATATGTACATATTTCAGTGACCCTTGTATTTAAAAAAACAAAAAATAATTTAAACTAGTAGTTCTAGATTTAACAAGATATTTTGAGGAAGTTACTTACCGTATACATGGTTCCAAACTGGTAATTAGGTGCAATGGTATTGAACGCTGTAGCAAAGAAGTAGGGTGGCGCAGTACCAGCGAGTATGGGCTGCGCTTGGTGACCCTGCGTCAATGTGCTGGTTTGCTGTGACAACGTCGTCGGTACCGGCGACGCATTGTTGTCAGTTCGTGCGAACCTGCCGTCCGATGAGAGCGAGTATCCAACATTGCCAAGTGTTGCGGCGTCCCTGACGGCTGCCAGCGTCGTCGGCGTCTGATAACTCATATCATAGTAGGGTGTCGTCTGTGTAGGATAAATACATAGGTTCGTCACATTCGATGGTACCAAATCGACTTCACCAGAGAACTTTTCAATATTTTTAGTATAATGTGTTGATTAAAATATAGCTCAGTCTGCAGAATAGATTTATTTAATAGATACATTTTACGAGTCGACCCAATTCAACATTTAATCCAATGTTGGATGACTCAAATGGGAAAATGAGATTTTCGAATAAAAAAATAAACTCCGGACATGTTTCTATAAAAATAATTGTATCATAGAATAAATCTAGAATTTTTTATGAAGTTCTGAAACAATCAAGTAGTGATAATACAAATAGAGGCATGTCAAAAATTACAATAGTTGAATGTATTTATTTATAGATTACCTCCATTATACAGGGTGGCTCACGCTCAACGGGACGGAGCTTTATGGGAAAACGACCAAAGATATAAAAAATTCGTTTGGGAGGAATACGTAGGTTACAGACGGCTACAATTTAAAATTTGTTAGATGTATACAGGATGTCCCACATAAGAAAAAAAAATTAGTTCATTAAAAATTATTCAAACAAGAGTAAACAATTAATTTCTGGGAGACTTTTTTTCCTTAAAAATTCAAATAAATCGAAAACTAATAATAATAGTAATAGGGAACCTTTAGTTAACTGACATTATTTTTGATGTAGTTTTTAATTCTAAAATAAAAAACAGGGTGTTCCATTAAAAATAATATAACTTTGTATATTTTCTCTTATGTGGGACATCCTGTATACATCTAACAAATTTTAAATTGTAGCCGTCTGTAATCTACGTATTCCTCCCAAACGAATTTTTTATATCTTTGGTCGTTTTCCCATAAAGCTCCGTCCCGTTGAGCGTGAGCCACCCTGTATAGTACAGTATACAACAATTTATGCAATCTAACCTAAATTATATATAAGATGAAGTTTAAAATAGGTAAAAATTTGTATATTCGACCATAAATAAATATTACTGATGTAGGGCTAATAACAATGGTTTATGGGATCTTTAAAATTATTTTGTGCGGTTCATACCTTACAAACCAAATTCATTTTTCAAAGTTTTGCCATCAAATATTATTTGTCAAAGTAATTATTAAGTTGGTTAACAGTTCCATTACGGGTTTTAAGTTAATTTATTTTGTGTGCTGTATTGTACGTAATTACATGAACTAAATCAATACCTTATTAAATTTTTTGTACATTTTATTTATATTTGCTAATTTAATATTTGCATCAGTGACACGCGCTGCCAAGAAGATAGGATATTACGCAGATTAATACTATATGTCATGGAGACGTAATGTGGTGGAAGGCGTGACTTTTACCAATTTGACGTATCAGCTGATCGAAAACGACGCGCGAAAATAAATTTTAGTCGGCTCATGGCCAATCAGATAACCATATTTTACACCACAATACGTCATGTGCGAACTTGACGAAATTTCGTCGGCTAAATATCATGCCTGTTTTTTTTTTGTACCATGGACGCTGCCTGTTGTTCCGCCTAGTTGGAATATATGCAAATTTTGTTGAAATGGGGCTTTTATCCCGAAAAGAAGATAATAATTAATTTGTTTATTGATCCAAATTTTTCTTATTTGAGCATAAAATGTACAAAAACTTAATACGAGAAGAACCATACCTTTTATAGCAAGTAACAAGAACCAACCAACACTTCATGAGTTTTGGACGAAAAACTTTAAATTCGCGGCTATCTACGCAATTTTGATTTTATTTATTTTAAAATGTCACATTTTATTACAAACAAATAATACATATTTAAACTGCATCTTTAAACTCCGGTTTTACGGGGTTTGTTGTAACAGGGATCAGAAACAGTCACTGACTGTCAGAAATTTCAGCTGTAGATTATTTAGAGACACTTAACAATCTACTGCGCAGAATTCTGACGGTCAATGACTGTTTCTGATAGGTGCAACCATGGATTTAAAAAAAATTAAATTATGCATTTGAATTAAATTACTTTATTGTAAACTAAGAAGTTCCCTCTACTACAACATGGCTGCAGTGTCACTTTGTTAAGCCCTTAAAGTACTCAAGTGAATTATGACTTGCATCATTTTATTTGTTTTGTCACTACTACAGCAATTAATCTGAATATCCTAAAATATATAATGGACAAATATCAAAGGTAAAAATAGAATCTTAACTCATAAATGCTTCTATACTTCTATAAAAAGCCATAATTATATAAAAAAAATATATAGAAATTACCTATAATTCTATTTTCCCAAACAAAATAAATTAAATATTTCATCTTTTTCTTAGGATTTGTCAATAAAAATTAAAATATATTATCTACAATCGTTATGGTTTAGAACCATTTTCAAAATAATTTAACGTTTCTAGAAAAACCGGATAACAATTTTGAATATGGGCGGGCGTAAGAAAATTAATTGTAAAGTGGTGAAAATATTTATATTCATCTATGATTCAATTTTAATAATAATAAGTTGTTAATGTCACTTCTAAAATGGGTTAGAATTTCAATTTTTTATTGTGCATTATTTCCAAAATGAATCGTTTATTAAAAAAATTATATTCTACACTTACACAAGAATCTAATTAAAATAAAAATCATTTCAGAAACGATAAAAAAAAATAATACCCATATTTTAGAATCGATTCTGACAACCTTTTATATTATTACAATTTAAGAGAAAAATGTATTTTAGCAATTATTTTTCCAATACAAAAAAATACAACTATGCAAAGTTTCGGTAATATCCCTTTTACAATTTATTTTTTTGTAAAAGAAAAAATATGTAAGTGAGCGAAAGGTTAATTAAATTTAATTCCTTTGTCGCGACTTTTCCAAAATTAATTTCAAATAGTTTAAAAATCGAAATATTTCGATTTTTCATAAAAACTAAATCAAATTTGTTAAAATTGGATCCAGAGGAATACAGATTTAACTTAACCTACACATACATTTTTCTTTTGCTAAAAATAAAAATAAACTTTAAGACAATTCCCAAAGTAAATATTACTCTCAAAATACTCAAGTTTTTGGTTTCTTTTAACAACTTATTTTTGATAGCTTATGTTCAAATTTTTTATAAAGCTTCTCTCATATAATTTACATTTTTTAAATTATAAATAATTGTAATTATTAAAGGAATATTTTATGTCCTTGGAAAGGTTTAATTATTTCGATCGTAGATAATATATTTTAACAATGAAATTTTCATATTTTTATTGGCCAATCACAAGAAAAAGATAAATACGAAAAATTACAACTGTAGACTGATCTATTAGAATTTTTATCAAATAACTTAAAAAATACATTAAATGAAATGAAAGCGTTAGGTGAGTCAATTTGATGTGATAAAAGTGAAGAAAGCTCATGCATAACAAAGACAGTTTGTGGCACTAAATCAATATTGTCCCCTCCTGTGAAATGTGAGATAAGCATCTAATAAACTAATAGGTCATAAATAATAGTATATAATTAAATGAGAAATAATGACTATTAGGCTTGAGGATGGGTGTGTGTGAGACACCCCATAAAAACAAACAGGTATATTTTTTCTTAGCTATTAATAAACTTCGCTTGATCATACAGGGTGATTCATTAATCAATCACCCTGTATACATCCACGAATATAATTTTAAAAAAAAATTTTTTTTTTATGTAACTACTATATTTTTATATTCATTTTATAAATAAAGCCAAACATAATAGTCATCATAAATATACACAAAAATCTTAAAAAAGAAAATAATTCCAAACTCAAATGTAACAAAGGTGTAAAACATCAAAAAATCCCAAAACCATGTGTCACAATAATCTTTGACTGTTTGAATTTGAAGATATGCAAAACTAAAAATATTAACCTGTAAATTTGTCAGATTTATACAAATTTAGTGCCACTTCATACAGTATTAAGAAATTATCGATTCATAAAAAGAAACATAAATGGAACCTACCATGTGAGGAAGCCTCTGTTGTAACAGTTGCATTTCTTCATAGGAATAAACAGGTTGCTGGAAATATGGTACCTGTCCTATCATGTACGGTGTGCTCATTACAGGTGCCACACCTGGAGGAATATTCGACACAATACTGTTTGAGTTTTTCGCCGCTAAAAAAAGACATAGATTGATTGACAATAGAAACGTCAAAGACATCAAACTTTAAAATAGTATGTAAATATTTCACAAAAATATGAAACTAACTAAAACATAATTTTTTTCTTCTTTCTTCATAAAATACAAAACATACCTAAAGTGGTTGATGTTTTACTCGTAGTAACACCGGCTTGAGAAAGAGAGAGAGGCGTTGCTGTTGTAACACTTCCCGTCGATGTCGTCTGACTGCTACTCGACGTACTTGAACTATTTTCGTATGCACTACTCTCCTTGCCTATCTTGTTGCTCGAATTGTAGTTATTGTATTGACCTGTCGTATTGCTGTAGCCAGAACTGTTACTCAAGCCTGCAAATAAAATGAACTGTTTTTAAGTCACATCTACAACAGAATTTGACAACTTAATATTTAATATAATAAATTTTCCAGATCTTATTATGTAAATGCCAAATTTTTCCTATTTTTATTGCATAAATATTTAGGTCAATATCTTAAGTTCTTTTTCATGTTATTTTAAAAAATGCATTTAATACTAAAAAACAGGACTTTCATACTAAGAGGATTCATCAATGTGAACATTATGGCGGTATTGTCAAGTTAGATGCTTTTTTTAAATAATAATATTAACAATACAAATTTAAATAAATGTATGTTTGAAAATACATTTTAAAAATTGCAAGGGCCTGTAAATACACACCGGAGTGGTTTAGAGCTACATAAATTGAAATATATTCAGTTAATAAATATTCAAATTTAAAATCTTCTGACAAATAAAATTGTATGACTAATAATAAAAAGCACCTCTTTTAATTCATTTTTCATTTAATTTCAAATATATAAAGAAATTTTGAAAATAATCTGATGTTATGTTGAGGATATTAAAAGTTATTGATTTTTTGTTAATCTAGTCCTGGATTTTTTGTTGCTAGTATATTATTTGGTTAGGCTGTGAATAGAAAATGGCAGCAATTTATAAAATTAATTTTATTCATTAATCAAGAAAACTTTCGTTCTGTATAATTAATAATTTTTATTATAATAAGTATCAGTTTTTTTTGTTTTATGACTTGGATATTTACAATATGTCAGTCTCAGTTTGTGATTTAATTTTTATTAATATCTGTTTTGTTACTGTTTCCCTGTTATAAAATTGTTTAGATCTCTTAATATTATTTGACTATATAGAAACTCAACTTTACAACACAAAAAAATGTTTTTAATATTGTGTCTTGAAGTAAAATAAGTCATTATTTTTTTGTGTCTAAATATTCAAATGCAGACATCTTATTTTGAAACACGTTTGGGCCAGAACGACTATATTCAATGACCAATTGGAAAGGCGCTTTTCATAATCCTATTTAAATATTTAACAATCCTTCTTGCAACCAGCTGTAAGACTCACTATATATGGTATATTAAGAATTTTTATAATTATTATATATTTTAAATAGATGGCGAACTTACCTGCATTAGCACCATATACTGATTGACTAGTATTTTGCGGATAGGACTGGGTATTCGAAGAATAAGTATTTCCCTGGCTGATCGATGGATACGATGCAGCATTCGCATTGGACTGGTACGAACTATTCGACGAATAGGTACTAGGATAGGTGTTACCACTTGAAGCATTGTAAACACCTGACTGGCTGTTGGAGTAGCTGTTAGCTTGATTCGACACGTAGGAACTTACAGTTTGCTGTAAAGAAAATATTTTTTAACTTTTAATATAATAGAGATAGGTACTTTATTGAAGTAGGATAAACCTAATATACAAAAAAATATAGTATAAAAATACAAATACAGCAGTTACACACTTAAAACGTAAAGATAATTATTATTATAATCAAAAATTTTTATTTTGTTACATATTAAAAAGATACTTTCAATCTTGAGTCTAAATTAACAATAAAACAAATAACAGTTGAAAGTATGAACACAAATATTAAAAAAAAAAGAAAAGTAAAAACATATAATAAACATTGTTCTGTTTTAATAAAAGTTCTTATTTTTTTTTTAATTTGCTAATGAATTGCAATCTTTCAAGTCCCTAGGCAGTTTATTGTATTATTGGAAACCTTTATACAATAAAAATGCCTTTGATTTAGAATAATTAACTTTTTTAATTTATATATCATTAGTTGATCTTGTGCTGTAATCATGAATTATTTTGTAAATAAACATAATTGTCAAGTAGTACAATTTGCTGGACCAAAAACCATTGAAGAGAATTTAACATTGTGACAATTGGTGTAGTGTTTGAAGTTGATTTAACTTGTAGAGATTAAATAAATAAAGAATGGAGGTTATTTTTTGTTTAAAACTTACCGTCGATCCCGCATATGTTGAAGAATTGTAAGTGTTTGATTTAGGAGGGTAGGAACTGTAAGTGGACGTTTGGGAAGAGTATGAATGACTATCCGTTTGCTTAGCCCCCAAATCCAAGCCAGCGACTGCAACAGAAGAAGATGATGTCGTATTGGCCTGCGTACTTCTCGGCACTGAATTATAAGTGTTGGTCACATGATCGCAGGTTTGCGGAATGGCATCCGTGTTTGATAGCTATTAACAAAACAAAAACAAATATAATAAAGTGGCTTCATACAAACATTCTATAAATTTGTTTGATCAATAGAAATATTTTTCATTATTTAATATGAAAGTTAATGCTAGACTAAGACAAAAAGGTAAGGGAATATATAAATGCAAGAGTGAAGATCATAGATGGGTAAAAATGGCTAAAGGATGTCTGAGATGAGATATAAGAGGCCATCTTAAAAAATTCAACAAAGAAAACCACTAACAGGTTTGGAGAAAGACTGAAATTAAAGCTATGGAATTAAAAAAAAACAAATATAACAGTTATAGAAAATAACTTTTCAACAAAGAGAAATAAAGGAAAATTAGAACTTGATAAGAGGATATGTAATCTTTGAATTACCCATGGAAAACCATGACGTGAATCGAAAAATTATTTGGAACTACTTTAGCCCATTGAATTGTTAATTTTATAAAATATATTTATTATTAAATTAAACTTACGCTCTGTGACAATGCAGAGCTAATACTGTTTTGGGCATTCGTCTTAGGAGAATAAGCATCCAAGGTGGAATTTTGATTGACAGAAGTTGAACTGAGGTCTAAATTCCCTCCTGTACCAGATACAACTGAAACCGCTTCTAAGGTCGCAGGCTGTGTTGTACTTCCATATTTTGTATCAATGCCTCCGTCAAATGATGCACTCGTATCCATCAAATCCATCGCTCCAAATTGCACATCCAAGTAGCCTATGCTCGAATTAAGATCACCTGGCATTTCAACTGCACTCGATGGTATCTGGAATATTAAAATATTTTTTTCAATAAGTGGCATTCATATATTTTCTTGTAGAGAAAATGAAATTAATCGATTTTTTCAGGATGCCAAAATCATCTTAATTAACAAATAAGTTCCAATAACTTTATACTGATCGATAAAAAACTTATCAATAGTACCGTTATTTTCACTTATTATGTCATTCAGTCTCGTCATCGTTTCATCATTAAAAAGACTGTTATAATATCTAAATAAGTAATTCTAAATAAAGCTATATTTAAGAATTTAAACGTACATTAGGGTGACGATAATAATAATAATAATAATAATAATGAGTACAATTAACAAAGAAAAAAATTACAATTTGAGATAAACGATCTTATAATATATCAATAAATTACATTTATCGGAGGTCCAATAAAAATAATTTCTTTGGACATATTAACTACTCATTGATTTAATTATATCCACATAATTATATATTTTATTATATTCATTACCCATGAGATAGATGACTAATTTCATAGATTCCTTAATCTAAAATTTAATTTAGAGACTACAAAGTTTGTATAGAAAAATAAATTTTATCGTCAGCAAGTTGAATCTGCCCAATAACAACTGCGAGTGATTACAGCTTTGAGGAGAGTTAAAAGTCTAGCTTAGAAGGAAAAAAAAAAAGAAAAACCCAAAATACCATGCAACAGAAGGTATTTGAACTTTTTCTACATTTTTTTTTTTTTAAATCTTTTTAATAGTTTTGGTACATAAATATTCAAATCGACGCTAAATATTTATTCCATTTTCATTTTCTGTGAAATTGTAATACGTTTTAAAAATAATTGCATATTTTATATTATTTTTAATCATTTAATAAATAAATTAATAAAAAATGTATTTTTCTTAACATAGTTATAGTACTTTTTCAATGTTAATCGATGCTAATTATTAGCTATTAAACATTTTGCTATTAAATTGCGCTTTTTATTCTTCTGCTTAGTGTCGCCTAAATAAAACATTTTTTGATTTTTGCATGATCGTAGAAAAAATATTGCAAAAAGTGTTTATTGCACTCGACTTGTCAAACTCGGCCTGACGGCCTCGTTGGATAATTTCACGTCGCGTGCAATAAACACTTACTTTTTGCACTTGTTGCATAAATAACTATTTAAAGAATTTTTTGCTATAAGATGGTAATCTTTTAAAAATAACTTACTTTAGAAGGAGGTGGTACCCGAGCCCTTTGGGTTTTCGGCCGAGTAGGCTGTTGGCTTGGCACAGAATCTTGGCCTCCAACATAAGCGCTAGGTTGAAATGTATTGGAATCAGCAACATATTGATTTGAGTTAGTTTGGGTACCATACTGCTGAGTACCACTAACATAAGACGGGGATGTCGCACTAGTACCAAACTGGTTCGTCGTACCACTATTGTAAGGCGCCGCAGCGCTACTGCTGTATTGACTGGTTGCAGATTTATCGAAAGTCTGATTTTGGTATGTTTGATTTTGGTACGGTTTATTTAGACTATCGTTGTTTTGTTGAAGCTATAAAAAAAATCAAAATGAACTGATGTTACGTGATTCTTAAAATAATCCTTGCATGAAGAATTGAAGATTGATCATTAAAAAAAAAACAGTTGACAGTAAAATTGAGTAAAAACAAAAAGTCCACAGAAGAAAACTAAGAAAAAATAAAACACTAAAAAAATGTATATATTAAATTTTGATTTTTCCAGGATAAATTTTATATTATTTTGGTTTTTACACCTTTACTTGGTACTTTGTTAGTGGTTTTCTTGGGGTTCAGGTGCTGGATTTTAATAAAACCATGTGATTTACGTTTGTATCGCTGGTTTAAACCTTCATCAATAATTTTTATTTATTGATATCATTATTATTTTTCTTAATAAAAATAGACAAGAATAATAAATTACACACTTTATCAGATATTTCCTAATTTTATTTATATGGTTACTGACCTGTGAGAAATACTGAGTTTGGGCTGCAGTTAAACTACCCACCATTGGCGGCACTGGACTTTGCGACGACCTCTGTATACCGTGCTGCCCCAATTGCAAATTTTGTCCCAGTTGATCTTTACCGAATGTGGGATCCTGTATTGTGTTAATAGGACTGGTTTGCTCAGCAACTGTATCCAAACCAGATGGAGCAATGCTTGGAGTAAATACCTTGGTATCAGCTAAGCTACCTTGGTATTCTTCCGTCGACCATTCATCTGTACCAGGGAAGTCATCCCAATTATCATCCTTTGTGTGATTGGTCACAGCAGTGCTATTATCCCATGTATTCGAATTGTCCCAAGTATCGATGGGTTTGTTGTAACCACCACCACTACTGCTTCTATTGCCCCTTGGTAGATAGCGCCCACCTGCTCTACCGCCACCCCTGCCGCCACGTCCGCCCCCACCACCTCTTGATCCACCTCCTGGCCTACCCCTTCGGTCCCTATCACCACGAGGGCGATCTCCACGACCGCCACCTTCTTCTAAATTGCGATCGTTCTCTTGGCGTTCGCGACCCCGCCAACCTCGGTTGTTTTGTCGTCCGCGATTACCACCTCGTGGTTTATCCTTGTCGCCTTGAGCATTAGCTGTAGGAGGTGCAGCATCGTTCCAATCGTCTACAGGAGGAGCCTCGTCGGTCTTCTCTTGTTTGCTGGCAGATGCTTGTCGGTTCTTTTTCTTTTTTACTCTTGTTTCCCATTCACCCTATTGTAATGAAATTAAAAAAATTATTACTAATTTTTATGATGATTTATTAATGTTATCTTAACACGTTAATCGCCTTGTGACCCGAATTTGGTTCTCAACTTAAATGGCAACTTGGGCCATGTGACCCAACATATGGGCTTCACTACTTGCAATAGCTTTAGGCTCTGTGAACTGTTGTATGGGTGACGTATTGCGTTGATGCCTATGAGACATTAAAATGTAGGCCTTGGGGCCTTAAAAAAAAATTGAGCCTCTAACATTTAGTTCAGTGTTATGAATAGGATACAAAATAGAAATGTTATAAAAAAAATGACTTTATTACTACATCAAATAAGTACAGACAAAGATAAAAATATGTAAGTATTATAAACTATTTTTGACATTTATGAATATCAAAGAAACATTATAAGCAGTAAAATTTGGAGCATTCTAGACAGCGAAATCTTGCTTTGGTGCCTGCAACTGTACCTTTTTCCGCCCTTCATCGTTGCTTATTTTCGCTTAGCATCTACGGCGATCTTTAGATGGAACTTCCTCTAAAACGTGCTGTTCGGTTTTAGCTTTTTGCTCTTGGTATTTCTTCATTTGAAGATTTTTCGCTACCAGAGTTGGGTTCGTATTCATCTGAAGAACCACCATCAAACGGTTCTTCCTCAGAATCGGACATTCCACAATTTTTGCTGAGCTCTCTCGTATTCACCACTCATATTTTATAGCCCTACCTCTAACAAAGTGTCGGAATAGACTAAGCCACTATATTTGCGATGAACGCGCGACTGTGGACTGCATCAAGCATAAAAAGCGAGTTGAAACATGCGTAAATGCGAGAATCCACATACGAGTCACACGGCTAAAACTATGTTGGGGTACGAGAACCAAATGTCGGTTATTATTTTCAAAATGTTTTTTTCTTCTTATTTTTGAGTGACCAAAATATATTTTTATAATATTGTTTCCTAACACATACTATAACCAACTAAAAACAATATATTGTGGACCGGGGGGACAAAAATATATTTTTGTGTTTGGGCGATTAACGTGTGAATGTTATCAGTTTCTAATTTAACTGACTGATTCTTAAGAGGTAGAATGCTACAAGGGACACAGGTATCATATCATCTAAACTTAAAACTACTACACATTTTTGGTAAACATCAATTTCAAAAATATTAGTGATAGAACGATATCACTTTTTTGCCGATACCGATATTTACGTGCCGATGTCGATATATCGTATCGACAAACATAACGCCTTCTATTTATACACGACCGAAGCAAAAACCGGGGAATTCCCGTTTTATAATTTGGTTGCGAGGAAACGTTTGTGATTGGTAGTAAGTGATATTTCGGATTTTGGGGGAAGGGCAACTGCCGATATACCGATATCAATATCGGTATCGTTTTATCCCTAATAAATATTTCCAGAAAAATTTGATTTGAGGAAACATCTTTTATTTATATTTATGAAACCACAGTATCACTTCAGAGTTTGATTGAGAAATCATGTCATCGTCCAACTCTACTTTTATTCTGAATTGACATTTATATCTTTAAGGATTTACACGTTGGTAACTATTAACAAATGTTTTGTCAACATGGATGTTGTTACATTTTGCCAATTTTTTCTTGTATGCAATTGAACTTGTGATCAAAAAAGACATGTTTTAATGCAAAAATTTATAATAAAAAAACAGCAAGGCATAATTTATATGGTCAAAATCGTATTTCAAGGATCATAAACACAAAATTTACCAAATGAATATAGTGTGTTATTAAAAATGTTAAAGGACCATTCACACTACTGTTCATTAAGGGGTAATCAATTTTTTTTTTTTTTTTTCGTACCGCCATGCATCATTTATGTTTTTGCTAAGTAGTTGTTATGTGTTTAACTAAACTACGAATGTTCGAGGTTTAAAAAGTTAATCAAAAGAATATTGACAGTAGATGTTAAATTCATAAGTAGGTGTATAACAATTTTTAATTGGGTAAACTGTTAAAATTAAAATTGCAATAAAAGATGTTAAATGGAATATCCCAAAAAGACGATTTGAGTTGTCATTATTAATATGATTAATACACAAGTTCTTTAAATAATATTAATCCAAATAGTGAAATTTAATTTAAATTTCTATGAAATAAATTTAAATCCTCATAATTTTCTACATTTAAAATTGAAATACAAGATGCCCTATAGTATTTTGATCCTATCAAATTTATCTAAACATTTAAACTAGTAGTATTTATCTTTTTTTGGTTCAATTCCTGTTTAACTGGAAATGACATAGACTTATGTAATTTCAAATGGATGATCATGTATGTTTTTAGACATTTAGAAGGTCTTTTCTCTTAATGTGGCATATTTTAAGCCTAAAACGAAAATAAAAAAAGAAAAAAAAAATGGATCAAGACGCATTACAAATATATAAAAGTACAGAAAATGTAGTTCTAATATCTACATATATTTGGTATTATAAAATAAAGTTACAAAAACTTGAACTTCTGGAAAAAACAAAAAGACTAAAAATTTTTAACAAATTTTAAGAAAGTTGAACGAATTGGGTTCTTGTATTTCTTTTTCAGCTTATGTTATAAATATTAGTCAGGGCTGTACTATAAGTTCTACAAATTTAATTGTTACTTACCATTTGCTTACCTAGTTTATAAATTCTTACACCTTATTATTTAAACATTTATTAATAAAAAAGAGTAGTTTTAAATAAAACAAAATTAGGAAAAGTATATGTATACAGGGTGAACATTTAAGAACTTACAATGGCCATATCTTATGAACTAAAGATAATATCAGAAAAGTAAAATCAAATAAAATAAAAATCAAATTAATAAAACCTAATAAAAACAATTTATTTTGTACTGGACTAGAAATAAACAAACATAAAGATAAACATTTTCTTTTTAAATAGGTTTTTAATTATTATTTACTAAGGGTATAGCATATATGTTTTTATTAGCTTTCCAATTATGTAAGACAAGTAGGGGTTACTAATTATTTTTTCTTGGGGTAGATGGCGCCTAGAGGGTTAAGTTTTGTATTTTAACATTTAAGTATCCCCTTTGTATCCTAGAAACGGTTTTAAAAATTATCTGGTATAAAAAACAAATACAGTTTGTCAAATGAAGTCTTGTAACTTTAGGATTTCATATAATTATTTCAAAACTATTTTTCTAAAGCCAAATTACTTTATGGGAATAATATCAGATCTAAATGTAATATTACAACAATCATAATATAACTATGGCAATTTAAAACAGTTGTTTCTTAGCCGTTATATTTTCATATTTTCACTATGAAGGTTGCTTTTCAAGGGAGGAGCAAGTAAATATAGTTACAATTTAATTATTTTTTAAAAAATACAGACTTTCCTAGCTTCAGACGAATCCAGCAGAGCATCTCGTTTTTTTAAAGCTTTTTTCTAAAAACAATCACACCATATTTTTAAGCTCTAAATATTATAAAACTTAACTAAAACATTGCCATTTATAAATAATAGAGGGTGCTTTATGGGAACAAAGTCAGCAGAACACCTCAGTTTATTAATATTGTAACTTTTTATTTGATTTTTATACCTATTTTTAACTTTGCTCTCACTCTCAAGTTAGGGTAAAAACTAATAGGTTTATGCCAAATAAATATAATGTTGGGCGCCACTGTATATTATATACGAAATAAATGCTCTGCATTTATTCTTTCAATTCTCTCATCTATATTAAAAATTTAATACAAACAATTATGGACCAAATTACCAAATATCTCATTTTATCAATAATTTAATGACTTGAATAATATTTTTAATATAATCAGTGTACATTCTTTTTAATCTTATTTGTATTAATTTTGTTTATTTAGTTCCAAGATTTTGACATTTTTTTTTTAAATAATAATTTATATCATTGTCAATTTTTATTAGTCTGTATTTGACCTTGCCCTTAGTTTGGATTTGATTATTTATGATTTATTACTAGTGGTTGTAATTCTACTTTTCCACAATGTTTATCATAAAAATTACTGGTTATTCACACATGTACAAATTATTAATAAACTTGACTATCATTAAACAAAATAGTAATATACATAATTCAAATTATTAATATAGAAAAAAAATATAGTGTCATTATTTCACTGCCAGGCTATTAATATTTTTAAAAGAAAACTAAAAAAGCGGTTTATCCATGTATATTATTTACAGTGAACAGATTATTTTGTTATTAAACATTTGACCAAACCAAATTGATCATGCTTGTATAAAAATTATTTATTAACTATTAATGGTAGAATCTTAATATTTCACTTTTTAGTGTTTCTAAAATAGTGACATGCCAAAGAAGACAGCAGAACACCTAGGGAATTTTATTATTTAAAAATAGCAATTTTTTAGTAAAGTTTTAAATTTCCAAGCCTATAAAATTTATAGGCAATTTAATTGCCTAAAAATATGGCATGGATGTTTTTATAAAAAGGCTTTAATAGCTTAAAAATGTGGCATAAGTAGTTTGAAAAAAAAAAAAAAAAAAAAAAAAAACAAAGCTCCCTGTATTATTAAAAAATAGCAATTTTTAGTAAAATTATATATATAATAACATATTTTAGATTTATACATTGGAAAAGAAGTTGGTTTATACTAAAATAGGTTTATTATTAAAAAAAAATTACTCCTCTAAACAAAAATTATCTATTTATTAAATAAAAATAAATAAATAAATTGTATTTTGCACATTGTATTTTGATATTTCATGGAGTAGAGCAGCTGCTAGCTGAACTTAATGGAGGATTGTAAAATAAATTTTTTTATTATTAAATTGTGAATCAACTTAAAGTGAGTAATATTACATTCTACAACTATGATTCATATTATATAAAAAATTATTAAGCCCCATCATAAAAGAATATACATACCATTGCAGAGGAATAAATCCTAATGATTCATTTTATTAACAATTTACTATTAATGTTTTTGTTAAAATTATTGAATGAAAAC